TGGGGCTCAGAGAACAATACCCCTCAAATATGCTACTTTGTTGTTTTTCTCGCTGTTGTTCTTATTTGCATGCTGAATAATTCGATGGGTGGGGAAAGACTCCCTAGGATTTTCTTACCTGCATTATAACCTGACTGTAAAAATGGAACACAACTGTCTCCTCTCTCTTTGTTTGGCCATCTTAAGCCAATAGCCTGTCTCTTCCATTACCATTTCTCTGAAAGTGTCCAGCATCAGTGCTTTGTTCTGGACCCTTCTCAGCACGTAGTTTTCTTCCTCTGCTTCTCCTTTCCCTCCCTATAAAAGTCCTTTGTGCCCCCCAAGTTCCCCAAGATGGAGCTTTGAGAGGAATAACCCTTCCATCTTCTCAGAGCCAGCCCTGGAATAAGACTGAAGTCCTTCCCACCAACTCCTGTCTACTGAGTATTGGCTTTCAAGCAGCAAGCAGCCTGGACCTGGGTTTAGCAACAGCTGTGATCAGCTATACCTATCATTCCCCACTCCTTTACTCCTGGTTCTTCTTTACTCACCCAATGACTGGATGCAGTTCCTAAGCCTTTCAGAGAGGTGCCCCAGAGGCAAAGGAGATTAGAGGTAACTGGCACAGCCTTGTGTCACTGGCACTGTCATGATCTGGCATTATGCCACTGGGGCTTAATAGATGCTCTAGGCAATTCTGTGGGTTTCTTGGAGAGTCATATTACCCACTAGGAATATGCCACTTCAGTTCCCACCATCTGGGTGATGCTTACTTTAATTGCTACTTTCCACTCCCTCTCTGAAGCCCTGATCCCTCAGCAGTAGATCCTGTTGCAGTCATTTGACCCCACTCCCAAGTACGGAGTAGAGCTCACCAAATAGAACCCTTTCACCAGACCCCCAGTCCCAATCCTCCCTTTGTCCACCTGCCTCAAAGGAAAACTCACACATCTTTTCCCCTGTCCATGGTCCTGTAATGAGCACTTGAACTATTCTGCCTCCTTTCTCTACCTTTGATCAATAGCCAGTCTCTTCCCTTCCAGTTTTGAGAATCCCGCTTTAGTATTTTGCTACAGATGCTAACCAGTACCAATAAATAGCATTGTAATCTGAAAAGAAGTGATATCAAATACATTTGTAAGGTGCTAATATGTAAATGTTATATTGACCAAGATTCAGAGGCAGGTCAGGGTCTAGAAGGCGAGAGTGTTAGGACTGATTTGGTAATGTCTGCAGTGAGCCGAGCAATATGCTCATGTGAGGCTAGAAATCTGACATCCTGGTGGATGATGGAAGTATAAGAAGCTGGATTTGACATGGTATTCCCAGGCTTTCCTGACTTGCTGATTTAGGATTTTTTTCTTTTTTTTTTTTTTATTTTAGTGTATACAGAGGTACAAAAAAGGAAGCTAATCTGACTAGAAGTCACTGATTTGCCTGCCAGTATGTCRTATAAAGCAGTGTTGGTGAGGTCAGAGGACCTGCCTGCCTGTCCCCCTCACGGTATGGATCATAGGCAAATCAGTTTGCTTAGCCTTTTTCCCAGTGCTGTGTACAAGCCTGACTGARTTTAAAAGGTAATTAAGAAAATATTCTGTATTAGAGGGAATCTGACTCTTCCCTGGTGTAGCTGATTAACATCKATATCAAACTATGTTTATTAGAAGATTTGAATGGATATAATTTAAAAAAACCAAAAKTGGCTAAGGCAAGCTCAGAATTTGATTTACTTCTCACGTAGAAGGTAGGCAATTCCAGGTCTTGTTGTGGTTTCATGGTGTCATTGGGACCCAGGCTCCTGCTTTCCCTTTTCAAGATGAGCACATGACCCCAAAGACTGCTGAAACTCCGGTCACCCTGTCTACATACTAGGCTGAAAGAAAGATCAAAGATCACAAAGGTCTTCTCTCAAATCAGTCATCTCTTCAACAGCCTTCCTGGAGTCTGACCTAACACTTTCTTTTTTTTATTGGTTGTTCAAAACATTACAAAGCTCATGATATATTATCTTTCATACATTTGACTCAAGTGGGTTATGAACTCCCATTTTTACCCCAAATACAAATTGCAGAATCACATCAGTTACACACTCACATTTTTACATAATGGCATGTTAGTGACTTTTGTATTCTGCTACCTTTCCTATCCCCTACTATCCCCCCTCCCCTCCCCTCCCATCTTCCCTCTCTACCTCATCTGCTGTTGTTCAATTCTCTCCCTTGTTCCCCCCCTTTCCCCTCACAACCTCTTATATGTAATTTTGTGTAACATTGAGGGTCTCCTACCATTTCCAAATGCTTTCCCTTCTCTCTCCCTTTCTCTCCCCCCACTCGTCTCTGTTTAATGTTAATCTTTTCCTCATGCTCTTCCTCCCTGTTCTGTTCTTAGTTGCTCTCTTTATATCAAAGAAGACATTTGGCATTTGTTTTTTAAGGATTGGCTAGCTTCGCTTAGCATAATCTGCTCTAATGCCATCCATTTCCCTGCAAATTCCWTGATTTTGTCATTTTTTAGTGCTGCCCGTAATACTCCATTGTGTATAGATGCCACATTTTTTTATCCATTCATCTATTGAAGGGCATCTAGGTTGGTTCCACAGTCTAGCTATTGTGAATTGTGCCGCTATGATCATTGATGTGGCAGTATCCCTATAGTACGCTCTTTTAAGATCCTCAGGGAATAGTCYGAGAAGGGCGATAGCTGGGTCAAATTGACCTAACACTTTCATTCATATCTTACTGACCAGATCTGCAGCTTCTTTATTTATTTATTTATTTTTTAATTAGTTGTTCAAAACATTACATAGCTCTAGATCTGCAGCTTCAATGGAGCTTGGGAAAAGTAGGAAGTCATACAACAGGGGAAATTGTGCTTCCAAGTATTAACAAAATCAGGATTCTTCTCTTAAGGAGGAAAGAGAGAAAGAAAATGCTGTGGGTAAGAGCTCTGTGCCACACAGGTAATTTTAGACAAGCAATGACTTTAAAAGTCCTCCTTTCCATTGGTAGAAGAAAGTGCTTTGCAAAATTATAAAATAGGTAGGCAATGTAACCTGGATGATATTAATATGTTGAACTGATGCAGCAATATACTATTTGATGACAGATTAAGTGAACGGAAGAAAAAATATTCAAATCCTCATGTCTTTTCCTTCTAATAAAAACTTAAACATTGTGATCATGAATCTGAATGTATTTCACAAAATGAGAATATATAGTCTGGCATCTCATCRGAGTCTGACTAGATCAGAATATTTGAAATTGGGAAGTCATTTATGCAATATATTATTGGAGTCACTTTCTGTTGTTTTGAGAATTTATTCAATCAAATATACAAAAGGTGCTTGCTACATGCAAACCCTGCAGTAGAACATACCATATACATTAGCAGGATGGAAAATACCATAACCTATCGTTAAAAAAGGACATCCATTAAAATGGAAATTCCATGAAGATAGGATTTTTTCTTGATTTAGTTTACTGCATATAAGACAGTCTGGCATAGAATAGGAACTCAGTAAATATTTACTAACTAAATAAATTAATGAACTCTAGAAAATACTGACCTTCCTCTAGAATTTTTTTTKGGGGGAAAATAAATCAATTTGAAAGATGTACATGTCTTATTTTAGAAAATAGATACGTTTCTGTTGGGCAGTATATTAATTCATATCCGACAACTTGAAGTTGTCATATGAAGGTTTATTTTGTAAAACAGAATCCTTTTTTATAAAGAAAATATCTTATTTTCTCTTTTTGTTTGTTTGGCAACTTTTGAYTTTTTTTAATATGTCACATTTGCATAAAGTAACCTCAACCCCACCTCAGTACCCACTTGAGAATGGAATATGAATTAAAACCAACATACAGTTTTGCAGTAGGAGTCCTATGAACTACCTTTTTTTATGGCAATGTTATAGGCTTGGTGAACTGATGCACCAAACTTTTTCCATATGTCTTTCTCACWTAAAATTCCCATCAGGGGAATTATTCTAGAGGGCCCCCTTCCCTCATGCTCAGCACCCAATCTGCCAATTTTATATTCCAATAATTTCTCCTTACTACTATCATTGTGCCTTGTTAGAAACTTTAGCATCCTCTCTRAATTTCTTCTGTACATCTCAGATTCATCTATTTAGAGTATATGTTTTAGTCAGCTTTTTTGCTGTTTGACCAAAAGACTCGAAAAGAACAAGTAGAGAAGGAAAAGTTTATATGGGGCCYTATGATTTCAGAGGTCTCAGTCCATAAGAAGCCAGCTCCATTTCATAGGGCTCCAGGTGTGGCAGAACATCATGGCAGAGAGTGTGGCTGAGGAAAGCAGCTGCAGACATGGCACCAGGAAGGGGCAGGGAGTGGGGAGAGAGAGAGAGAGAGAGAGAGAGAGAGAGAGAGAGAGAGAACACCAGCACTCCTCCCCACTACAAAAAAATATACCCCTAAGACAGGCCCCCATGACCCACCTCTTCCAGCTACAACCTACCTGCCTACAGTTACCACTCAGTTAATCCCTATCAAGGGATTAATTCACTGATTAGGTTAAGGCTTTACTAACCCAATCAATTCATCTCTACACCTTGTATGATCTCACACAGGAGCTTTTTAACAACATATCCATCATGTTATTCTTCTCTTAATAACCTTTTTCTCACTCCTTAACAGCTGATGAACTCCTCATCATGTTGTATGAGAATCTTATGTCCCTGGCCATAGTTGTATCCCTCTTTCTGTAGTTTTATCTTCTGTTAATTCTCTGCTGTACATTTACAACAGAAACACTTTTATCTGGTGGGAATAATATACTCTGTGTTGTATATATGTGTGTTTATGGCATGATGGGCACACTTCTGTCATAGRACATTCCCCATTGTAACTTTTCCAAAGGACCTAGCATGGTGCCAGGCATCTAGTAGATGTTCAGTGATCACTGGTGAACTGAACGAAGCCAACAGAATGTGATCTCTGGGGAACGCTAGTTGGAAAGTTTTATTCGATATGGTTATTTTTATGTTCTTTCTTCCACTACWAATCAACTAATCGCCAGGTTTCTCCAGAGGTATGTCGCAAAAGGTCATTGTGAATGAACCCTTTGGATACTGGTCTTGGAGAGCAAGAACGGTCCTCAGTGCCCTTTTGTGGAAGATTGAACACCTGAGAAATGCCAACACAGCTGTAAAAACAAGTTTTATTTAAGAAAGGGACAAAGACAGACTTCTCCAGAGAGAAGTGGGCCCAGAACTAGGTGCCTGTGAGGAAGAGGGTATCTTGCTATTTTCTAGGCTCCCAGACTCCTGCACCTTCTCTTTCTTCTCTGGATGTCTGGGGACCGAAGGARCAGCACAGTGGGTAATTGCTTGTACTGGGAAGTACAGGAAGTTGAGCTGGGAAGTGTGAACCAGAGCTTAGCCCTTAGCAACCCATTGTCTTTTCTTTGACAACCAGCCCTCATCTTCTCAACTCTCATCATTCATTACCTTCTGCCTGCTGCTTCAGTTTGTTGAAGAATGTGACATTTCCTTGCCTGAGCAGGCAGGTTGCTTTTTGGCAAAGAAAGCATGTGGAGAGTCAGTACAGTGGACTCATTTATATAGAATTATTCTCTTAACCTTGTGTTCCCACCATCCTCATCTATTTGTCTCCTTACACTTTGATCCCACTACCCTATGTCACTAGTAACCATCTTCTGATCAGACACATAGCATTTATTATTAGTGGAAAATAGAACTTGCTAATATGTTAGAAAAGAGTGGTGAGGTAGTCAAGATGAGTTGGCACTCTTGTGGATATATGGATTTCTGCGATTAATAGCATTCGCAACATTTGCATTGCTCAGTAGCCAAAGTAATCCTATTGAAAGTTTTGAAGTGCTTAACTAAGCACAACTCAGAGAGAATAGAAAGAAGAATCAATTCTGTCAATGCTCACTTCATCCTTCCCCTTCCCCCCAAATGAAATGAAAACAACAAATGAAAAAGTCAGAGATCCTCAATGGACATTCAGTCATTTGGAAAGGTCATTGTGTTTATAATTTAAATAGAAAAAAAATGGAGGAGTTTATATCTAAAAATCTATTTAAAGAAACAAACCATAAGGCCCTGAAAGGCAACCATCACAGTGTAGGAAAAGGGAAAATTAGGATGGTACTGAGCAGACTCCAGTCCTGATATTTAAAAAAGAGCAACCATTCTGAGTCCCTGCTCTGTGACAAGTCTTGTACCAGGTGCTTTATCAGTCCTATAATGCTCTGAGGTACTTTGTGCAAATCATCTGGCCATTGTTTTTCTTTATTGGACGTGAGGGCCTTGATTCTGGGTTCTGGGAGGAGAAAGAATCAACTCCTATCCCCTTTCCTCTGTACCCTGTGGCAACTGCCCAGGTTGAATTGTCCACTTGCTCAAAGAACTCCATGTGTATAAACGTGACCTTGGTTGAGGCTTTCCAACAGGGGGTCAACCCACAATACTGAGAAGTTTGGGAGGGGTGGGGTACTAGTGGAGAAGAGGCAGRGGCCTGGAGAGATCATAGTCAGTACTACAGAATGGGCAATTCCTGTGGCCCACTTGTGCAAGCAGACTGCAGGCCTCAGCACCTGACTTCCTGAGCTCACAGGACGATGCCTGGAGCCCTCATTGCTGCTGGGCCAGCCTGGGCTGGAGAAAGCTCTGATGGCCTTGGTTGAGGATGGGTTCTTCCTCATTCCCACTCCATCTGTCATCTGTGGTAGACAAAGACACCATATAAAATCTTCAAATCATCTTTCTGGAGGTATAGTAGGTAAGACAATTTATGAGAGTCAGATTGTGAGAGTACAGACTCAGGATCAAAGCGCTGTCTCAATGGGTGTGTTAGGGTTCAACCGCAAGGCCAGAGGGCTCCTCGTGAGTCACATATCCCTGTGGCGTGCAAGGGATATTGCAAAGTTCTTCTCTCTGAGATTCCAAGCATGAAATGACAGTCCCTAGAAAAGAAGGTTTAAAAGGAGATAGCAATTTAGGATTAAGTCAGAGAAATATTGAGTCTTAAAGGAAACATCCAGGAGCCATTGAAATGCAGAAAGAAACCCAGTTGTAAATCTTGAGGAACGGGCAACATGCCCTTGTAAAATGAGGAAAATACACAAGTGCAGGGAAACTGGCATGAAACTGTGCAGCGCTCACCCTGGTTCCACCTCCAGTCTGGCCCCTAACTATAGCCCTTCTATAAATTTAAGACCCCTAACCCAAGGAGGGGTCTCACTCTCAACATATCCCCCATTCTCCCTTGAATATGTATCTACTTCCTAAAAAATACTCTGTCTAGGCCTTTGTCTGGCTTATGCTGAAATTCTCTTCTGTTATATATGCCAGGCACCCCCCTGATCCTGGGTTGAATACTCCTTCCCCTCTGGGAACTCCTTGGACCCTTCTCCAGAGGCATCTCTTCTCTTGTGACAACACCACCCTGGCCCTCCATGCCTATTCACTGCTTGCCACCACGTCATCTGAGAATGCTGATTCCACGGAGAACCCTGGATGCTGACTGAGAGAACAAAGCAGGGAGATGGCAGAGTTGGCACCCAGGCTTCCAGAGCAAGACACTAAGTTCCATGGAGCTGTATGGAGCAAAACTTTGATCTTGAAATTATACTTTTTGAGAAAGTGCCAAAGCAATTATATCCATAATTATAACTCCCAAATAAGATGCAGACCATTGTGTTCACTGTAAACGGTCTGGATCCTACAGAAGTGAATCCCCTGATGGCTGGATTATCATTATCATTTTAATTACACAAATGAAGCTACACAGAGTGTTCCTGATTGTGTGGATGTCAACTCTCTTCAAACTAATGTAGTTCTGACCAAAATCTAAAGCAGTGTGCTTGTGGGGAAAAGAGAAAATAATTTCAAAAAGTATAGTAATTATTATAGGAAGAGAAAGGCATAAGAATAGAAAAAATGTTTGCACAAAAAAGTAATGAATTTGAACTGATAATCCAGATATTTTGAGATGTAGTTTTTTTTAAAAAAAAAAAAAAAAACAGTGCAGTATTGGCATTAAATAGACAAGTTAATGGAACAGAATAGAAGGTAGAAAAAAAAAGACCTAACTATGCAATAATTTAATGTATTATAAATGTAGGTATCTCAAGTTGATGGTGTAAAAATTGAGTGGATAATGACTGAGGGTACAACTTCCCAGAATGCTAGAAAGACCAGAAATGCATCACTATACTAAAAAATTCTGAGTGATTCAATGTTTAAAATGCAAAGTAAGTGAAATCCAGGTAAATATTTATGTAATCTAGGGAGTGAAGATGGAATTACTAAGTTTAGTAATAAAAACAAAAAAAACATAAAAAACAATACATTTTATAGTTTAAAGTTTAAAATCTTCACATAAAAAAAAAAAATCCCGCATCAAGCTGGGAATGGTGGCACATGCCTGTGATCCCAGCAACTCAGGAAGCTGAGACAAGAGGATTGCAAGTTCAAGACCAGACTCAGCACTAAGAAATAAAAAATAAAAAGGACTGGGGATGTAACTCAGTGGTAAAGTGCCACTGGATTCAACCCCCAGAATCAAAAAAGTAAAGTTAATATTCCATTAGTTGTAAGCTGTAGAAATAAATTGCATATGTTGCTTAATGGGATAATATGTAACTATAAAAATATAAGTAAAACTGGGTGTAGTGGTACACGCCTGTAATCCCAGCAGCTTGGGAGCCTGAGACAGGAGGGTCTTGCGTTCAAAGCCAGCCACAACAATGAGGAGGCACTAGGCAACTCAGTAAGACCCTGTCTCTAAATAAAAATACAATATAGGGCTGGGGTTGTGGCTCAGTGGATGAGTGCCCCTGAGTCAATCCTCAGTACGCATCTCCCACAAAATATAAGCTAATAAGGTACTGATAAGGAACTACCTCAATGACATAATGTTGAATGGAAAGGTGCAGAGAGGAATATATGTTAGGATAACATTATATAAAGAGTAAATAAATACATTTATATATTAGCTTATATGTGCATAAGCTATCCTGAAAGAATACAAACGAATTGATCTCAGTGGTTACCTCTGAGAGGCAAATAAAGGAAGAATTTGGGTTAAAGAAAGAATTTTTATGTTATACTCTGACACATTTTGAATTATGTGATTATATTACCTAGTACATAATTTTCAAAACAGATATATTTGATAGACATCTTTTCATGTCAGGAAAAACAGCTATTTCTTTAGATGACTGAAAGATATTGCTGTATGTGGATTTATCACATTTAACCAATTTTCTATTGATGAAAACTTAGATTGTTTTCAAYTTTTCACCACATAAATAATCTTATGGTGAATATCCTTGCCTATAATGTTCAAGTATTTTTGAGAAGACAATTCTTAGAATTGTTGTGATAAAAATACATTTAATTTAATTTAATTTTATTTTATTTTTAATTTTTTATTGGTTGTTCACAACATTACAAAGCTCTTGACATATCATATTTCATACATTAGATTCAAGTGGGTTATGAACTCCCATTTTTACCCCAAATACAGATTGCAGAATCACGTCGGTTACACATCCACAATTTTACATAATGCCCTATTAGTAACTGTAGATGGGGTAGAGAGAGAAGATGTGAGGGAAAGGGAGGGGGGATAGTAGGGGATAGGAAAGGTAGCAGAATACATTTAATTTTAGTTCCTAAAGCTATTCAAGTATCTAATCTTTAAAGAGATCCTTTTCATTATTTGTTACAGCTTAGTCAATATTAAGAAGGTTAGAAGTTTCTGGCAGTTCTGGATTTTAGGAGCCCCAAACACTTTTCCTTTCCCCAATTTTCAGTTCCAGGACTCTTCTATCTAATGGAGAATCTATTTCTTTTGTTTTGGGAGGGGCTAATTCTGCCTTTCCCAGTTCATGAGATGTGCTTGTGACTCATGCCCAGCCAATCAGAGGGCTCTGTCTATGAAGCTATAAGGATTTGTTTATATGTGGTTATGTGTCCCACACTGAACCAATAAAAATTATCCCTAATATATTTTATGGTGACAGGTGGAATTGATGATGTGCTTTTCTCTGAGGTTCCTGAGATGCTAAGTACATGAACCTGGGATTATCAGCAGCAATCCTTTTTACCTGGTTATGAGGCAAACTTGGAAATGTTACAGGCTGATAGATGGATGAATGGAGCTAGATGATAGAAAAATAGATCATGCCTTGATTATACAGTTTGAGCTCCTGAATCAGCTGTACCTGCAGACGCATGCACAAATGAATATATATATATATATATATTTTATTTCAACTGGTTCAAATGGGTTTCAGTAATTTACAACCGAGATTCCTTGGTTAATAGCCTACCTCTTTTTGGTCATATACATTATAGTTATATTCCCCAGTGTGTGGCTTGTAATTTTATTTATGGTGGTTTTGGCCATATACTTAATTTTATTTTTTATTTTTATTTTTTAGATAGTAAATCTTATCATTGCAGTTTCAATTCCTGGTTAGAAAGATGCTTTTCATTCTGATTTTTTGAAGTCCCTATTTATTTCTTTATATTTTCAATATGGATCTTTAGGTCTAAAATTGGAAATTAATTTTTGATGTGGTATAAGGCAAGGAAGGCAATGTTTCTCTCACTCTGTCCCTCCTCCTCTCCCCCTGCCTCCCTCTCCTCCCCTCTTCCCCACCTTCTCTTTCTCTCTCTGRTACTKGGAATTGAACCCAGGGGAACTCTATCACTAAGTCACATTCCCAGCTCTTTCTATTTTTAATTCTGAGACAGGATCTTGCTAAGATGCCAAAGCTAACCTCAAACCTCAAACCTGTGATCCCCTCTCGGCCTTCTGATTTGCTGGGATTACAGGTTTAGGCTACCAGGTTTGGCTAGGCAATCTCATTTTAAAAGCAGTAACGCATGATATAAATTTGAGAACACATACCAACACATGTCAAAATTACTATCTCTACCTTTCACTTGGTGGTGGCATTACAAGGGGGACTCTATATTGAAATACACACTAGAAGTACTTCTGCAGAGGACGCTGGGGATTGAACCCAGTGGCACTTTACCACTTAGCTACATCCTCAGCCTTCTTTATTTTCAATCTTGAGACAGGGTCTTGGTAAAGTTTCTTAGGCCCTTTCTTAAGACAGGGCCTCACTAAGCTGATGAGGCTGGCCTGAAAATTGTAATCCTCCTGCCTCAGCCTCTTGAGTATCTAAGAATACAGGCATACACTAACACACCTGGTTGTATATTATGATTTAATGAATTAATTTATTATCATGCTAATATTTCCTTCTGGATTACATATGTGATATGSTATATATTTCTATTATAAGTAATGTATTTTGCTGGAGAATACAGTTTGTACTTCTCAGGCAAAGTTTGCCTAATTCTTCTTAAAATCAACTGAATTTCAAGGAATAGTGTATAGGTATTTTGATTTATTTAGTTCAATTGTCAAAAAATTATTTTGCCTCATTATATTGCCTTTAATTTAAATATTATTCAATGATACACATAAACCTAACATACTGTAGATTTTCTGACATTCTCTAATGGTAAGATAGCTGTATAAATTTAGATCATAAATTTATGTCATAAAATTCAATGAACCATATTTTGTATTTAAGTTAACTGCACATAAAACGCACATCATACATGAAACAATTCAATGCCATATAAAATTGTTATATCAAAACACTTTCTAAACTTCCTCTTACCAAAAATTAATTCTTAAATCTTCAAGCTCTACCCTAGGTGTATGTTGCTTTGCAATGCAATTTGTGAGTTCTATTCTTTTTTTCTTGTCAGATTATCACTTAAGACCTTGGTAAATGTAGTGCCGACCTAGGGAATCGGGCTAATGGTCAGTATCTCAGCTTTCTGCAATGAAGTTCAAGGTAACCACTGGAAATTGTAGCCGTTTTCTAAGAGCTTGGGAAATGAATTCAAACAATTAAAAACCAGTCTAGAATTCATCTTTTATTCMAAAAAGCAAACCACAATTGAGATGATCAGCACTGGACAGATTTCCAAAGAAATGCACACAAACATTGAGAATTTGGGTTGCATAACATTGAAGCCATCTGTAGCACAAACTTCAGTGATGCCTTCAAAATGCTACCTTTTCATTTACTGAGGATGCATTGAAAGATCAAATGCACCAAATCTTTTTGAAAAGCATAGGAGCATTTTTCTTTTTATGGTAAACAGGCTATGGAAAGAAATTTTCTAAATCTTTGTTGAAATTCAGAGGCCTTTACTAATCTTTTTTGAGTAAAATTATTCTGCAACGAGTTCCCACCAATCACAAACTTTCTCAAGAAGTTAGATTACACAGAGAATTCATCTGAGAAAACACTTCTGTCAGAACCTGTAYGAAAAGAGAGGAATGACTAAACATAAACTTTACCCTCCTTTACAGAGGGAATGATAAACCACTGTACTATCTTTCTTGTTCAATTTTAATATGTATYGTCATAAAGATCACCTTCACAAGCAAAACCGCTCTCCTTTATTTTCCTATAGCAGGAAAGAGAACACACATGAAACATGACAGGAAGCTCTGTTGCTCCAAAGATATTGTAGGATTGGATGATACGAAAACCTTCACCAAACTTGGGACCAAGGCACCATTCACACCTGGATGTGCTGAAATGGAGAAACATCAAGTCAACATGTAATAAATTTCTACCAAAGTAAAAACACTTGTCGCTTGGCAAGATCCAAAGTACTATAACATACAACCTTTCTCTTCGTTGAGCTTATCCTCTAGAAGTGGCACTTACAATCAAGTGAAAAATTATATGCTGCAGGGTGCTGTGGCCCATGCCTGTAGTCCCAGTGGCTTTGGAAGCTGAGGCAGGAGGATCACAAATTTGAAGCCAGCCTCAGCAACTTAGTGGGACCTTAGGGAATTTAGCAAAACCCTGTTTCAAAATTAAATAAATAAATAGGAGTGGGGATGTGGCTCAATGGTTAAGCACCCCTGGTAAGGACAAAAAACTTAAATGTTAAAAGTGCCAAACAATGAAGTATTCACATGTGTAACCCAAAATTACTTTTCTTAAACAAAAGTATTATGTATAATCTCTTAGACAACTCTCCATAATGATATATTTTGTTTTACTTCATTCTTACTAATAGCACATTTGATAGTTTGGGTAGACCACAATTTATTTTACCACTCTCTTTCTGATGCACATTTAAGCTGCAGTTACCATCCTTGTAACAGACTTGTGTTCACGGGTAACTACTTCCATGAGGCCGAATCCTAAGATTTAAACTGCTGTTTTAAGGGATAAGTAACAAACTGTCAAATTGCTGTCCATGAAGCTTCCAGCGGTTTACAGTTACCACCAACAGTAGCCAATAGTTCTGTCTTCAGGCATGGAAAGTCAACACAATATCAATCTTTTAAAAGTTGATAAGACAGGTAAGTAAAAAAAAAAAGAAATCTATTGTTGCTATTTCACATTTTGGTTCCTTGATTACCATGAGGTTAACATTCCTCTTAGTTATCTGCTATCTGTATCATTCATGAATTAACTGCATATTCCTATTACTCACTTTTTTCTGGGTTATATCTTTACTAATTGATCTGTGGAAGATATACATGTTTCAACTTTTTATAAGCATTGACATATCTTATTTCAGTCGATGACTTGTTTTTTCAATTTCATTGATGGTCATTGACATATCTTATTTCAGTCGATGACTTGTTTTTTCAATTTCATTGATGGTATTTTGTATTTGTGAAAATTTCTCTCTTGGATCCAATTCATAAACTTTGCTTTACTGTTTGCATTTCTGTGGTTTATTCAAGGTGTCTTTCCCTGTATGCCATGAAGATAAGTCTCCTGTACTTGCTTTTAAAAGCTTCAAGATTTTGGTTTTCGTACTTAAATTTTTAACACTATTGGAAATGATCTTCATAAATGATCTTTGTGAATGGTGGTGACAAATGCCTAGCAGAAATCTAATTTTAAATATTTTTTTCTCTGAAAATGAGCAAATGTCTCAGCAACATTTATTGAAAAGCCTCTCCCTCTGGATCCATGGTGCCATTTTGTCAAATATTGAGTTTTCACATATGCATGAAAACAAAATGACTGGGCTATGTTTTCTTCTTCCATTACTAAGTGTGTCCTTCCCTTTACCTAATACCAACCTGTTTTACTTTCTTTAACTTTTAATATAAAGTCTTGCAAGCCCTATATGTTAGACTTCTTTTCCAGGTTTTCTCTGGCTACTTTGGAGCCTTTGCTTTTCCATGTACATTTTAGAATCAGATCGTCAAGTTCCTGAAAAAACTGTATTAGGATTTTGACCAAAAATGTATTGGATTTATAGCTGTATTTGGGAATATCTGCTATATTTTTTGTATTGAATATGTATCCCTCCCCTTACATTCAGACTTCTTTACTTTTTCATTGTTTAAATTGTTTTTCATAAATATCTTGCGCATATTTCATTTGATATATTCCTAGATACATTGTTTTTACTATCATAAAAAKATCTTTTAAAGATTTTCTTTCTATTTAATGTCTGCTTTTAGCCATATCTCCTCTTAAGCCCATTACTATTATTATCATTTCATAGATATTATGTTTGCTTACTTGTTTTTAAATTTCTGTTTTCACTATTCCTTCTTACATTTTGGACTTTGTTTTTGTAGTTGTTTTCCTTCTTTCGGATGCATATCCTTAAGGAAAATCTATTGAGAGTAAATTCTCTGTTTTGTTTTCCTCCAAAAACACCATTCTTTGTCTTTCTTTTTTGAAAGGTAGTTTTGCCAGGCAGAATATAATATTTTTTCAGACACTGTTGTGTTATTGCTGACAGTTCCTCAGCCATTACTGTGGTTTTCTTCCAGCTGATTTTGGTTTCTTGTCTTTGTCTTTGGTGTTCTTTATTTTCACTATGAGGTACCTTTCTGAGCCAGTGCAGAGCTGTCTGTGAATTCACACCTTTCATTACTTCTGAGACTTTGCAGCCATCATCTCATCCAGTGAGGACTCTGCTATTCTGTTCTCACTTTCTGGCTCTCAAAGTCTATGTTAACTCTTTTCCTTCTTTACTTCCTATCTCTGTCTTAACTGTGATTTTTCTGCCTCTTTTTTCATGTAGCATAACCTATTGTTTAACTCATGCACCAAGTTGATTTGAAGTATTACATTTTTAGTTTCTAGAATTTAGTTTCATTTAAAGTTTCTTTTCTATATTTTCTTGGCCATATTTGATAATCTCTTACTTATTAACTATGTTTAAAATTATATTTTATTTCTTGAAACATTTACATATTCTGTAAATAATACTAATATCTTAGATTCTTGAAGATTAGTACATGTTAGTTGTTTCTTCTGGTTTTTATTTTTGATGGTTTGTAAATTTCTTTAAATTATGAGATAATATTCATCAAACTTAAATTCCTGGAATCTTTGCTGTATAAATCGAGAATGTCCAATACATTGGTGGTTCATTGCTCTGGAACCATGTAGGCCTTCTTTGGGTCTAGCTTTAATTTAGGAATCTCAGGTTCATGTTCCCAACCTTGTTGTGAATCTAAATCTTTACAAGTTGGGTTTTGCTTCTTAAAACATTTTTCCCTTGGAGAATTTAAAAAATTTTTCTCGTTTGCAATAAAATTTCATGTGCTTTGAAATTTCAGTATATTAAAATTGAAAACTTCTTGGCTTGGTCCTTTTTTATAGATAGATCTTTAACTATTTTTTTTTTACATTTCTTTAATAGTTGCTGTGTTAGCTTTGCATCACTCTAACAAAATGCCTGAGTTATTCAACTTGTAAAAAGAGAAAAGGTTTGTTTTGACTCACAGTTTTGGAGGTGCCTATTCATAATCAATTGGTCCCATTGCTTTGAATCTGTGGTGAGGCAACACATCGTGATGGGAGCAAGTGGTGGAGTAAAATCACTCACCTCATGGCCAGGAAGCAAAGAGAAAGAAGATGGAACTGGACTCCAGAATCCCGTCCAAAGGCATGTCTCCAATTACCTAGTCATCTCTTGGTGGGCCCTACCCTTTTAAGGTTCCACTACCTCTCAATGGAGGTACTATCTTCAGGACCACACCATTAACACATGGTCCTCTAGAACATTCAGGATCCAAACTATAGCATCTGCCTTTTGTTGAGTCAATACTGGTAATTTAGACATTCCAGGGAAACTTAGGCATACAATAGTATTTATTAAATCAATAGTGCTGATGATTAATACTTAAGTAAAAATGGTTTCATGCTATCTGAAGGAAATAAGAAACAAGCTTAAGTGAGCTATAAGTATGTAGGGGTTTAAGAATTCTAGTCCTGAGATCAGGTAATGACTCTACAACTGGTCATAGACGCTGGAGGAGAGCAGTTGCTCTGTCCAGGTCTCTACCACAATAAAGCAAACATTTTCCCTGGGTGGAGGATTTTTTTTTTAAAGAAACCACTTCTATGTACTTAGTAACTCATAGAAAGGATTTATGTAACAGCTGTATAAATATACTTCAGCAATCCACTCTTTATATTGGATTTATATAATAACTTGAGAAAAATGGTACTAAATTCAGACTGTTTTATTATCCCTGAAAAGCTGAAAGGGGCAATTTGAAGAATTGTGTATATGCTTTTGTAGGTGATACGCTGGTGTATGTGTGTGTGTGTGTGTGTGTGTGTGTGTGACTTAGTAAAACTGTTATTTGGTCCCTAATGAAGAAATTAATTTTTTTTTTGTATTTGTAGATGGACAGAATGCCTTTATTTTATTTGTTTATTTTTATGTAGTGCTAAGGATCAAACCCAGTGCCTCACACATGCTAGACTCCGCCACTGAGCTATAGCCCCAGCCCTTAATGAAGACATTTCAGATACAAAAAGGTGTACTTTGGTCTGAAGTACTTCAAAATTTACTCACCATATCAGTAACTTTTGAACTTTTAGTGGGATCTTATCATAAGAACCAAGTAGGTCATTTTTGACAATGAACAAAGCACATATGTGAGTAAGTTGTTGGGGACTATTGAAACAATTCTCGACCCATAAACTACGATGAGTGAAAGTATTCTCAAGCTGGATTTTTGTCAGGTTAAGCTTCAAAATTCCAGGTGGAAGAAAAAACAAGTAATTCCCATCAATAATCAGTTTGTCAAGTGATCTGTAAACAAAGATAAACTCATTTTAAAGATATTTATGCAATATTTATGCAATTCTGTCCCAGCGTTCTTAAAAACTGGCAACAAATTTAGTGGCAAGGAAAAAACACATGTGTATTTAAGTATTAAAATCAAGAGAAATTCACATATGAAACAACTGAACTAATATATTTTTACCCAAATAAGTACACTTTGTGTGCTCAGTTGGTGCCTGTATTTGGAAGGTCTTTGAATGGGGTCATCAGTGTGGAAAAAGAAATAATGTCCACAATCACAGGAAGACTAACAAATATTATATAATACAATATAAAAAAAATACAGAAAAAAATGCTTTTATAGAAAATTGAATGTCAACATGTATTTTGTCATTCAATGGTAATAAAACCAGTGAAATTTATGCCATCAAAATGTACCATGTGCTATGTTATGCTTTGACTTTTTCAACACCCAAGTCCCCTTAAGTCTTCATTGTGTCAGTTGCTTTCAATAATCCTTGGTCCTTTATTCAGAAAACCAGCATGACTTGATTTTCTTATTTTCACTTGTCTCACTAGTGTTTTCCACAGTCACTTATCTCCTTTCTAATTAGTGCTGGAAGCAGACAGAAAAGTATCTGTTCATGAGGGACACATAAAAATCGAAGTCAAAGGCCAACAAAATTTCATATGCATTAAAGGTGAACCAGCTGGAAAATGGAATTTAGGCAGTGAGACTAGTCTAGTCTCATATTGTGACCCTTACTAACAGTATTAAAATGTGTTTGAAGGTGGTATGTATTTAAAACAGAAAGAGGCTAAGCAGATAACAGAATTCTTCCAGTTTGACCTTGTGCCTCCCATGGTCTGGTACAGGTGAGCAAGACTCCAGGCTGTTTTGGTCTTGAAGGAGAGAACTAGCATGCTCACTTTTTCCTCTGTATCAAACGCAAGCCAACATGCCAGAAGCAGAGAGACCGGCTATGGGCTGAATATTTATGTCCCTCTTAATTCCTATGTTGAAATCTTTKTCCCCAAGGTGATGACATTTAGAGGTAGGATTTTTAGGAGGTGAATAGGTTGGGGTGGACAGCTCTCATAAGCAGGATAAAACAGGCTTCAGATGGCTCCTTCTATAATGGGAGGCAAGAGGGAGAAGGTGGCTGTGTACGTGACAGCACACCCTAGCCAGACACCAAATTCACTTGCATATTCATATTGGGTTTCTGGGCTTCCAGAACATGAGAAATGAGTTTCTGTTATATACAAGGTACCAAGCCTACAGGACATTGCTGTAGCAGCCCCCGCTGACAAGGACAAGTCCTGTGTGGACAACCAGAATGAGTGTGGCACATGCAAGGGAAAGGCCAGCAAATGTTCCCAGGACATCCATTTTGAGGACCCAGAAGTTTGGGTGCCCTCTTCCTATTTATGGGTTTTGGGGAGCTAAGCTGGCCAAACAATATTTGAAGCTGGAAGACCCCCACATCCAGTTTCGAAGCTGAGCACTCTGGGGGCAGAGGAGTCTCCTTGAGGCATGACTGACATTCCTGCTGTTCTGAGTGGTGACATTCTCAACTGCCATTGGGCAAGCAGAAGAGCTAGCTACCAGATGAGAAAAACAGACACATTGCACAGGACAGTGGCCCTGAGGCAAGCACTCTCTGTGGAGAGACAGATAAGAAGTTGGGGTGGGAACAGGAAAAACAATGAGAGTCAAATATGTGCACACTCAAACATCCAAATGCTTTCTTGAACCCAAATGCATGATTTGTGAAATAAAAGATTTAAGTGGATAAACAGAAGAACATGACCATTGTGGAGATCCAAATCAGAAGCCAAGTAGAAGGCATGATTCAGAACAAAACAAAAGTATAAAGAAAAATCATGAGGAAAAACGTAGGTGACACGGAAGATAGATCCAGTAGACCTAATATATAAATAATAGTCATTTCAGGAAGAGAAGTAGAAAAAGATGGAAGAGGCAATCACTTAACATATTGTCTTAAAGAACTGTGAGCTGGCTGATTAAGAGTTCCCTGAATCCAAGGAAAGACAGATTTACAAAAGAAAACTGATCCACTCTTAAGCATAACCTTATGGAATTGCTGAAGATCAGAGATGATGAGAGAACCTTAAGGCTTCTCAGATGAGAATAAGAGCCRCTTACAAAGTAAGAGTAAACTGGCATCAGGCACCTGGCCTGCCATGCTGGAAGATGGGGAGGAAATGCTTGATGGAGAGGGAGGACTGCAGAGCCAGATCTTCCAACACTGATGATGTCATTTGTTATCTTCAAGATTCAGAGAAAAAAGCTACTCACTGGAGAAAAGGTCTATAGGAACACTCTATCCCATCAACGACTTAAAACAGACATCTTTCCAGATTCAAGATGAGATGAAAGAAGAGACAAAGCAGCAGCAAGCAATGGATCTTGAAACATACAGTTAAAAATGAATGGAGATTGCCTGAAAATGTTGTGAGATTGAAATACTTGATAAATGTTCTGTAGACAGACAGACATAATGCAAAGGAAAATATCAATGGGAATCTCTGTCAAAAGTTTCTAAGCCATCTCCATAAAATCTAGAGTTAGATAAAAGGCAGGTAAGTTTGAAGGGAAAATAAAAATTTTTAAGTCTCAACTAGATGTCAAAGACAGCAGTGGGCAGACAGGCCATTATGTGGGGGCTTATGTAAAATATTAAGGAAAACATGTTTGATAATGAGTTTGGGGAAAGGATTAGAAAAGTATAGTAAAACACCACAATTAACAAGGGAGGAATAAAAGAGAATAAATATTATGCTGAACAAACCAGAAGAAGAAGAGGGAAAAGGAGGGAAAAGGAGAGGGGGAAACAGGAAATAAATAGTAAATACAAAGTAAAGCAGAAAGCAAAAAAAAAAAAAAAATTAAATACATCAGTCTTTAACAAATATGGATGGGCAGAATTCTCCTATTAAAATTCAGGGATTGTTACATGGAAAATCAAATAATAGTATAAATATTGTAAAATTAGAATGATCTCCTTTGCCAAAGATCATACTCCTAGAGAACAAAAGGAAAGCCATCAGATCTATGGAGAACTTGATTTACATTGCTTGATTTTAAGATAACATAAAGAAATACATAGTTTTTCTATGCTGGATAGAGCTAAAAATGGAAGTAAGAGAAGCATTATATTCACAGTAGCAACACAATTATAGAATACTTAGAAAAGCCTATTAAGAAAGATACAAAGTGGATCAGACAAGATCTGAAAATATAAAAAAATGTGTTTTAGAATGAAAAAATTTATTATCATCAAAAATATAAATTCTTCAAAATTTTGTGTAATCTCAAGGTGATGGACAACTAAAATGCCAACTTTGTGTTGATGTGTATTGAAAGAGAAGCTGGGAATTATATAAAATGATCTTAAAGGTTATCATCCAAAGAGAGTTATTAAAAATTATTATTGAAAAATAACAAAATAACCTTCCTATTTTTATTAGATTATTCTAAAGTAAAAATCAAAATTGCATGATACTCATGCTAAGCAAAGTAAGCCAATCCCCAAAAGCCAAAGGCTGAATGCTCTCTGATCCATAATGGGGGGGGGGCATGTGAAAAAAGGAGGAACTGTGAATGGGCAAAGGGGAAAGGACATGGGGGCAGGAAAAATGGTGGAGTGAGATAGACATCATTACCTTAGGTACGTGTATGACTGCACATATAGTGCGATGCTATATTGTGTACATTCAGAGAAATGAAAAGTTGTGCAATTGTGTACAATGAATCAAAATGCATTCTATAGTCATATATACCTAATTAGAATAATTAAATTAAAATAAAAAATAAATTTTAAAAAGTATGATACTGATATAGAAAGACACAGAAAAACTTCAGACTTTCTTTTTTATTAATGTGAGAACCAGAGTTCAATATTAAAACTACATTAAGTATTTTGAGCATTTTATAATGTGTATTTCCTTATAAAGATGCAACAGATAAGAGCCGTTCTATGAATTTTGTAGCTCACATTTTTCATTGCATGCTACTAAATAAATGAGAGGACTCAAATTTCTCCATCACAATCGTTACCAAATATCTTTAAGGGAAACATGACTTTCTTTGTACTTACTAATCCCCAAATACCTGAGTTTCTGGATATCATTYGGAATAGAAGTGATTTCATTATAGGAAATATCAAGTTCCTCAAGATGGGCCAAGGAAAATAACCTAAAACAGAGAAAACTAATTGTAAATATGACTATCTATTTGTCATAGTTGGGAATAAAAGAATCAAATATTTAAGTTCATAGGTGATAGTACAGAAGTTGTACCTTGCTAATATCTTCACATTTATATAGACATCTTTTCATTAGGTATGGGGTAATTACTTTCTAAAAATTATTTATCTATCCAATGAGACTTGTTTGAGATATTTGGAGTGGGTAAAGCCCCATTTAGAAAAAGGCACCTGAGACATTTTTAAAAGCATTTAAAACACACACACACACACACACACACACACACACTCCATTTTTCGTGGTTGCTGTATTAGTGTCCTCAGGCTAATATAACAAAGAACCACAATCCAGGTGGCTCAAAAACCAGAAATTTATTCTTTTGCAGTTCTGGAGGCCAGAAGGCCAAACTCCAGATGTCAGCAGGCTGATTTCCTCCTAGAGGTTCTGAGGGAGAACTCGTCCCTTGCATGTCTCCCAGCTTGTAGAGGCTACCTGCAGTCCTTGGGGGTCCCTTAGCTTCTGACAACAGAACTCCCACCTTGGACTTTGTCTTCCTATAAGGATACCAGTTATTGGACTTAAGGCCTACCCTAATTCAGTATGACCTCACGGTAATTTAACTAACTGCATCTATGAAGACCTTATTTCCAAATAAGGTCACATTCTGAGTTTCTATATGGACACAGATTGTTCAGCGACACTACTCAACCCAATTGCATTAAGACTTCCATGGTGAAATACCTTTGATCATTCTTTCCATTGAGATAAGTTCCTATAAGTAAAAACCAAAGAATGCCAAGACTTGTTATAAAGTTATGCAGTTATAAGAACTGAAGAATACTGTTATTCTGCCACAAGCCCTGTCTCCTGGAGGATGAGAATGGGAATCACTTCTTGAAGATTGGAATTGAAGGACTCAATATATAATATTTATCATAACCTCTAGTGAAAATCCCCCTTTCTGTGTGTGCTATCTTCAAATGTCTTTCTGATTCCCTATAAATAAAAGATGTAAATTTACTTGCATGATTATTAACTAAGGCATCATTAACACGGTATTTCACTAACTTTTTACTATTTTAGCATGACATACAAAGGTCCTTAGGACCTGGCTCCAGATTACTTGTCTATCTCACCTTTCACACTCTTCTCCATTGTCCCTGTAGTCCAGGGACAAATTTTATTTGCTAAAATTATTTTGTTAAAATTTATTTGCTAAAATTCTCTGCATTAACTAGTTCTCACGTATCTCCAAATACTACATGTATTTTCCCCAACACTTGACTTGTCTTTCAAGTTTTAAGTCTTGGTTCAGATATTAGCTCTTTCAAGGAACTACTTCTGACTCTTTCAGAGTGGGAAGATTTCTCTTCTGTACTTCTCTGCTTGCCTCTATCATGGGACCTGTAGCATTGTGCAATAAATGCTTGCCTCCTAAACTCATAAGTTCCTGGAGGGATTCCATTTTGCATTTCTATATATCCATTCCTCACATAGCACCTATGTGTATCAGAATTACTGAGTAAATCACAATTGGATGAAAGGAGTGGTGATTCCAGGTAACTTAAAATTAAATGCTCTGAGAAATTAAGATTGACTAGGAAACTGGGTGTGGTAGTGCACACCAATTTTAATCACCTCTGTAAAGAATATGATAATATCATTTGCTATAATTTGCAATTCAAAATATGTTTTATTTTCTTGCCTCATCCTGAACTCCCCCTTATTCTAGTTCCAGGCTTTTAGGTGGATGATATGTCCTGATGACTGGGAAGTTGAATAAGGCTTGTGGGCAGCATCAAGGAAGCAGCTTAGGTTCCGGAGTGGGACTGACCTCATCTGTGATTTTAGAAAGCAAATGTAGAAAGCCTCAGTTTGTTCTGGTACTCTATACACCATTAGCACCAACTCTGTCCCTTTTTTTTTTTCTTTAGGATGCATAGAGTTTTTAACACTTATTTCATTGCTTTATTTACCAGCACGTTATTGGGCAAAAGGTGCTTAGAGCCCTGCTGCTAGCTTGGAGGAATAGGCTATCATTAATAATTACATGTTTTAATGGTTATGATCAAATAATAAATATCATTTATTAGTAGCATACTGTATGTTCATGCCAATTTAGAATGTTCTTTCACCATACCATTGGAAGATTGTTATCCTTTTTTTTTCAGGTATCTGATATGTGGAGACAAAGAAACTTAATCCCCCCTTTTAATCTATAACAATATGGAAAAACAAAGTATGCAACATCAGTTGTTAATACAGAAAAACCAGCTGTTAGTATAAGTTCTCAAGATCAGTTGCTGGGTATTTTGTTCTAAATAGATTATCTTTCCCAAAGAAACTGCCTGCTCATTAAAGCAAACTGAATCAGACAAGGAAAGCAAACATTTGATTCTAATAGTTAAAAGTTACAATTTTCTATGTCATTTTTATTCTGCTAGCCACTGAGAAAAAGATAAAGACTTTTTTTTTTCTTTCTTGAACTTTTGTGATAGTTATTTCTGCATAACCTCAGGGTTTGATTCCCAAAAGTTGTTTTGGTAGCAAATAGTATTTGTTTATAAAATATGTGTTTTTCTCTGTTCACGAAAGGTTGTAATGACATCACCAAAACAAGCTTCTTTCCTTTTTTGGTTTCCTTTTCTCTCTTATCTTCTCTATCTAAAAGTTTTGTGGAAAGAAAAAAAAAACTTTGGATTTTAAAGTGATTTATTATCTTTATTTTATAAATCTTTCAAAAAGACAAATCAAAGAACTCTCATGATTGCAAAATTCCAAACATGACATGGGACAATTGACTATATATTGATAGTCTCTAAGGGGCATGGCTGGAATGATAGTTCTTTCTGCCTCCAAAACATGGGCCTTCCTTCATCCATGTTGCTGCATAMCGGATGCCCCCCCAGGTCAGAGCAAACCATCAGAAACAAAAATGCGGCCTCTGTGAATTGGTGCTCTTACCAAATAGATTTTTTTCCTCATTAACTTTTAGTTCACCTACATTGAAACAGTCAGCTGTTATATAATTTTTTAAATGTTGGATATTTCATTTTGATTTTGAAACTTAGATCAAGGGGAAACAAAAAATCTGTAGAAATCATAGAGAATGTAAAAAATAATTTACAAGGTTTTCTTATTTTCTAACTTCCAGATAGAAATTGAAGTTAAGGTTAAGAGTGCTGAAGTGAAGCTTATAGCATCTAAGGGGCAAAGCTCACCTCTGACAGTCCCTAGCCTTTTCAAAGATGCCAGGTTGAGTCTCATGAAAGCAGAAAGATCTAGTGAGGAGTAGGAAGATAATAGTGAAAGAACTTCATCACAGTTTTAGAAAAAGTTTAAAAAGTCACCTAAATAATATATCTGAGAAAAAATGTTTTTTATAATATGGAAGTGATAAGAAAATTTAGATGATGATAAGAAGACTAGAAAAAGGTGATCTTCTAAACATGTTTTTTTGAGGTATTTGTTTTTTTGTTTTTGGTACTGGGGGTCTAACCCAGGGGTACTTAATCACTAAGTCACATCCCCAGCCCTTTTTATTTTTTATTATGAGACAGGGTCAGGCTAAGTTACCTAGGGCCTTGCTAAATTGCTGAGGCTGGCTTTGAACTTGCCATCTCCCTGTCTCAACCTTCCAAATTGCTGGGATTAGCTGGGATTACAGGCATGTGCTGTAAACTTTTTTTTTTTTTTTTTTTTGGTACTGGGAATGGAACAAAGGGCACTTTACCCCAGCCTTTTTAATTTTTTTTTTTATTCTTTGATAGGGTCTCACTAAGTTGCTGAGGGCCTTAAAAATTGCTGAGCCTTTTCTCAAACTGGAAATTCTCCTACCTCAGCCTCCCACTTCATTGGAATTATAGGCATGAGCCACCTGGCCCAGCAAAAAAGTATACATCTTAATTTAAATTCTAATATTATGGCTTCAAACTAGTTGTTTATTTAATAAAGTAATGCTAAATTTTATTTGACCTGCTAAATGTATACTACTAACCGCATGCTTTCTTCAAATGTCCTTTGTAAATAAGGTCCACCTGAAAATCCCATTTAAAATTCCACTCTCACTTCCTTATACTATTCTGTTTTCTTCTTTTTTCATAACATTACCTTTTAAGTTACTCCATTTATTACCTACTAGGTACTTTATTTACTGTGTATATTACTTRTTCTATGAATATGTGAGATTCAGAAGTGATTTTATATTAGCTTTCTATTGGTGCCATTTAAATTGCAACATTAACTTTGTGCCTTAAAGTCACAAAGATTGTTTTACAGTTACATAGGTCAGAAGTTTGGCACTGTGTCACCATACTAAAATTAAGTCTTCAGCCAGCTGCATCCCTCTCTAGATAATCTGTGTCTTGCTCATTTAGGTTGTTCCTGGAATTTGGTTCCTTCTGGCTGCAGCACTGAGGTCTCTGAGCTCCTGTTGGCAGCAAGTTAATGACCCTTCCCAGGTTTTGCAAACTGCCGTATCGCATTCCTTGACTCATGGCCGCCTTCCACCTTCAAAGCAGTAAGAGCAGGCCCACAGGTTGCCTCCTTCTTTAAATCCTGCCGCTTCCCTTTCATTTTTAAGAGCTCATGGAATTAGACTGGGTCCATTTGGATAATCCAGAATAATCTCCCTACTTTTTAAAATCAGTGATTAGAAACCTTTTGGTATCTAGTCTAAATTCCTCTTCCATGCCATGTAACATATCCATGTTTTGTGGGGATTAGGATGCAAACATCTCTAGGAACAATTATTCTGCTGATCATAATCCATCCTAGAGATTTACCTCTACCCCACCTGCAAAATACCTTTAGAGATYCCAAACTCCCCTAGGTCTCATCCCATTACAGTGTCAACTCAAAGTTCAACATCTCTTCTGAACTCAAACCCAAACATCATGCTTTAAAGCAGGTGGAGGTGAGGTTCCAAACTTAATCTCTCTGGGGACACAATATTTTCTCCACTGGTAGTCTAATAAACTAAGGCAATGTTATCATCCTTTAAGATACAACGGGGCAGGCATTGAATAACAGTTATAGACATTCTGGTTCAAAAGGGAGAAAATGAAAAATTAAAAAGCAGTTACCAATCCTAAGCAATTTAGGAATCCAACTGGGTAAATTCCATTTGCTTTCAAGGCAGGGAATCATCATCTGCAACTCACAGTTCAACCTACTGGCTTCGATGTCCTTCCCTCCTGGCTCCTGGCTCTGCCTCAGGCATCAGCTTTGCTCTCTTAGCTCAAAAGCAATACTAAATCATTACAAGTGTCTTCAAACCTCCTTTTTAATCATCATTCTTCATACACTCAAAGATGACTGTAATTCAAGTCATTTCAGAGTCATCTCCCTCAACTGACACATAATAGGAGTTAAAATTTTTTGTTGTTAATAAGTGGGTTTCCGGTTTTCCCACCCACAGGACTGCATGTTTTTCCATATTCATTCTCAGAGCCTGCTTCCGGTTTTAGGAGATAGGGTCATTCCTCCTGTTCAAGACCAGGATCTCCACCTGTGCCCATGACTCCTTTCCCTTCCACCTCCTGTAAGATTGTGAAGTTCTRTCCCATCAGGCATCCTTCCATACAGCTGGCCAGTCTATTTTCTACTTATTCCTTTTCATCATTCTGTGAATATGCCTGAGTCTTTTTTTTTTTTGGGGGGGGGTACCAGGGATTGAACTCAGGGGCACTCAACCACTGAACCACATCCCCAGCCCTATTTTGTATTTTATTTAGAGACAAGGTCTCACTGAGATGCTTGGCCCCTCACCCGTTGCTGAGGCTGGCTTTGAACTCTCAATCCTCCTGCCTCAGTGTCCTAAGCCTCCGGGATTATAGGCAAGCACCAGTGCACCAAGCTTCCCGAGTCTTTTTTTTTAAACTTATTTTTTAAAAGTTATATATGACAGTGGAATGCATTACAATTCTTATTATACATACAGATCACAATTTTTCATATCTCTGGTTGTATACAAAGTATATTCACACCAATGTGTCTTCATACCTGAACTTTGGATAATAATGATCATCACATTCCACCATCATTTCTAACCCCATGCCCCCTCTCTTCCCCTCCCACCCCTCTGCCCTATCTAGAGTTCGTCTGTTCCTCCCATGCTCCCCCTCCCTATCCCACTATGAGTCAAAAAAAAAACAACTAACAAAAATGTTTCTAAGATCCCATGTTCTTTCTATCTTTTATTGAATCTCTCTCCTCCTGGTACATCCAGATTTCTCCAAAAGGTGGTCCCTATACTCATCATTACCAATTTCTCTCCTCCCCTTCTCTCTCAACCCACTACAAACTGGCTTTTGTTCCTACCATTCCACTGAAATTGTTCTCAGATTTAACCCGAGTTTTTCTGTTGTACTTGGTACTGTTAGTCATCCTCCTTTTCTGAAGTAATCTGGCTTCCACAATACACCTGGTTCTCTTTGTGCAATTTGACAGTTTTTCCCCCTCCAGGTCTAGAATTTCCTCCTCATCTGTCTTTAGCTGAAATGCTGATGTTTCTCCAGCAACATCCTTCAGATAATTCCTCTACATATATACTGCCTTCAGTTAGTATATACTGTTAATTCAAAAATCTTTATTTCCAGGGGTTGGGATTGTGGCTCAGTGGTAGAGCGTTCCCCTAGCATGGACGAGATCCGGGTTCGATTCTAAGAACCACATAAAAATAAAGGCATTGTGTTGTGTCCATCTACACCTAAAAAATAAATATTAAAAAAAAATTTATTTCCAGCACAAAACTCTTCTGTGGTTCACTATGTCTAAGTCCAACGGTGGGATAGAAAATAACCCCTGACCAACATATTGATCTAGGGTTAAACACATTATTTCCCTCCCTTCAAAACTCCTTTAACTTTAATCTGGTCTTTGTTTTGCTTAAAACTAATTAAGGGCTTCTCATGGCACTTAAAATATACATTTCTTCATGCGACCTCCAAAACTTGATGGGATGTAGCCATTTTCAAACACTTGGCCCTCACCTGGGGCCACATTCTCATCATTCCCCAAACCAGGCTGGCTTCCTGGAAGCCTTGAAGGGCCAGGCTCTCACCTACCTTATTCCCACTGCATAAAATATCCTTTTCTCTATTCTTGGCCTAGACTCATATATGTCTGCTAAATGTCATTTCCTCAAATAATGTTTTCTTAGCAAATCAATTTAATTCATATTCCTTCTTCCTGTTCTTTTCATTCATAATCCTTAGAATACGTATTTATTTATTACAGTATCTATTAGAATTTCAATATCCTTCCCTGGATTCTAAACCCCATAAGAGAAGGGATCATTCCCCTTCCAGTCTACCAATCTAAATCCAATTCTTAAGAAAGAACCCACTATTTAGTAAATAATTAATAAATAAATTTTACATGATTAAATTATTCTACTGTAGGTATCTGGGAGTCACAATGCATTATTTTTAGCCTTGACTTCTAGGTTTCTTAACTGCTGAATGTCTGATCAGTACCAAATCTTGCAGATTATGCTTTATCTCTCAACAATATGTTCCTTCTCTGTGCATATGACCATTGCCCTGGTTCAAGGTTTCTTTATTTCTTGCTGAGCTATTTTAATAGCCCTACAACTGGTCCCCTTGAATTCTGCTTGGTCCCTCATATCCATCGTCTGTACTGCCACCAGTGTGACCTAAAATAGATTCCATATTCCCCTGTGGAAAACCCTGTAATGTATTCTCATTGCATATAGCATAAAGTATAATTTTTTAAAAATCTTGACTCACAAGGACCCTGGTGCACCAGGCTCATTTCTCACCACTTGACTTTGCTTCAAAAATAACAAACTCCTTATATTTCCCATCCCATATTTTATATGTTGCTCCCTTGCTATCTTCTTTTTGAGCAAAAAATTATGGGACCAACTCTCTCTTGCTCTCTCCAGACCCTGAAATCCAGCTAACTCATAGTCGTACTTGGATCAAACATCATCTTTTCCAGGGAGTCATCTCTTATCCTCCAGAATGAGTTGCATGCTAGTCTATGGAATTCACACATCCTACAATTTACATCGCTATTATTTTACTTTACTAATTGTATCCAACTGTCTGCCTTCCTTGTAGGCAGTGAGCTCCTGGAAGAACATAGTAGATGCTTCATCAACATCTGCTGAATTAAGTACAAAAACGAAAACATAGCATTTGAAGTGCATCAGGGTAATTACTTTTGACAGTAATAACATCCAAAATTCAAAATTTATATGGAACTGGAACTATCTCTAATATGTTGCATAACTGTTTGATTCACTGCATTTCACTCCATTTTACTCAGTTAATGCTCCCTAAATCCTGCCACTGTGCATTGGGTCATTTGTGCTCAGCAAACTGGAATTCTGACAACAGTTCCTAAGTATACAGAGTTAAGCCTTTCCCTCGCTGTACAAGCACTCTCTTGGTAAGTTTTTACTTAACAAACTCTGCAAACAAACATTTTAACTTATGTCAGATGTTACAATAAATCTTCTCTGAGGTCAATAAAGTTTTCCCATTATGTTTTTCATTCTTGGCTTCATTATGCCATCAATCTTTTCTGGTTATGTATATTCAATGCTATTTTATAAAAATTATAGTACTTTCTTTAAGAAACACTTACATTTTGAAAACTAGCTCCTTAAAACCAAGAGTTCACACTAATTTGCCCAATCTCTTAACAATGAACAATATGTTGTCCCTTTAGTTGTGATCAAATTTTTGTTGCTTTAGGGATTTCTATATTTTTAAATGATGGTTATGATTATTTATAATATGTAATTATGATTACAGGTTATCCAGCACAAATTCATGTCTAGGTGCTGCATATGTAACTGTATATGTACATAAATATTTATATATTTCTGTGTATATACACAAATATATGCAATTTATGTGTGTATGCATATATATATGTATATATATATATATAATGTAACATGGATATTATATATAATGTCTTTAACTTACATTCAGTTTGTTAAACTATAGTTTAAAGAAGTATCTTGTTTGGGCATTTGGTTAAGATATGGGTTTACAGCTTTCATTAAAAGTTAAATAAGTTCAGCCACGCACTGTGACCCACACCTGTAATCCCAGCAACCTGGAAGGCTAAGGCAGGAAGATCACAAGTTCAAAGCCAGCCTTAGAAAGTTAGTGAAATCCTGTTTCAAAATTAAAAATTAAAATTTGTTGGGGATGTAGGGTTAAGCACCCTGGGTTAAATCCCCAGTAACAACAACAACAACAACAACAACAAATTAATGGTTCTTATGTAAGAAGTCTGTCTCTATATACTCAAATATCAGCCTTTTCATTAGAGTTGAAAAGCTCTTAGATAGCACTTAGGCCAATCTCCTTAGTTTATATATTAGGAAATTGAGGCCAAGAATTGTCAAATTACTTCCTACAGATTAAAATATCAACTTTAATATTAGAGGTGTACATTCCAAATCCAAGTTCAGTGCTCTTCCCATATCCCCAAAGGCCATGAAAGGCGGGTACAAGGTTCTCATCTGAACTGTATTACAGGACTCTGGTTCATTTACTCCATAATCAGTAGCAGATCTTTAGATGAGCATTCACTAGACTCATGTTAATTGCCATTTATGCAGCTGATAGGGTTATTTTTAGTACCAGAATAAGAATCAAATCAGTTAATTAGAAGAGAAGACTACTAAATAGCCAAAGAGCTTCTAGCTGTTTCCAAAGGGTAGCTTATTCTTTACTAAATTAAATAGTTTAATTTTATTTCCTATGTTTATAATCTCAGATAATCAAGCTTACCCATTTGGAAGAACATGAATGTAATTAAAAGCAATGCTGAAAATTCGAAGGAACTTAAGGTATTGGATTTCAGAAGGAATTTCTTTGATTGGATTATTTCTCATTTTCAGTATTTGTAGATTTTTAAGACAAAGTATCTGGAGAATAGAAAAGAGAAACAAATATGAACAGAATAATAACTCCTATTTGCTACCTTAACTCTTTGAACTATCGCGAAATCAGTATGACAACATAACTTGGCTTATAACCTATATCTCAACAATATWTTTTTTAAATTTTTTATTTTATTTATTCTAACTTGTTATATATGACAGCAGAATGCAACTCAATTCATATTACACAAATATTAGCACAAATTTTCATGTCTGTGGTTGAACACAAAGTAGAGTCATACCATTCTTGTCTTCATAYATGTACTTAGGTAATGATGTCTGTCTCATTCCACCGTCTTTCTTACCCMCATGCCTCCTCCCTTACCCTCCCTCCCCTTTGCCCTATCTAAAGTTCGTCTATTCCTCCCATACTGGCCCCCATCCCCATCATGAATCACCATCTTTATCAGAGAAGATATTTGGCATTTCAACATATACTTCTAATAAACCTTTAAAACAAGTGACCAGCATTAATAGATATGATCAAGAGAGACAGGGCAACTAGTATATTCATATGTCCTTGACTCAAGAAGAGTTCTTTTCAAAATGAGAAAGGTCAGCCTTTTTGATCAAGCTCAGAGTTTCATGTGAAGCAACCATGGAAAGATAAGGGAGGAAGGAGACAGCTGCAGAGCTGGGAAGGTAAGTGGACCCAACCACTTGGAGGAGAGTGATTCAACAATACTCTACTCGGCTATCTAACAATAACAGAGTATCTAACATAGTATCTAACAATACTCAGTGAAACAGTCTTACAGTAAGACTGTTTCATGAGCTATCACAGTAATTTAATTTTCATATCAAAGTTAAAGATATACCATTTATACCCATGATATTTGCTTAATATAAATTTTGCTTTCTGCTCTCTGATGAATCTTGTTTTTGTTTGTTTGTTTCATTTTTTGGTTCTGAGGATTGATTCCAGGGATGCTCTATTACTGAGAGACATTCCCAGTCCTTGTTTTATTTTTCATTTCAAAAGACAGTGTCTCACTAAGTTGCCAAGGCTGGCGTTGAACTTTGTAATCCTCTTGCCTCAGCCTCCCAGTTGCTGGGATTATTATTATTGAGCCTTTAATAATAATAAAATAACAAATTGATGAAGTGGAGGATAGTAAATTTTGTAGCCAATTTATTTATAGTATTCTCTTAAAATCTCTTTTTATAAAAAATTGGTAAGGTCAGGAGCGACCTTTCATTCTTGGTTTTAGTATCAATGCCTTCTGCCTTTTTATTCCCCCATCAGTCTATGTAGGTTTGTGAACTGTTGTGGATCACTTCAACGTAATAACATTTGGGCTTGTTGGTTTTATTTCTCTTTTTTCTACTCTCTATTTCACCAGTTATAGTACTGGTTTTTATCATTTCCTTTTTTTCATTTTCATTCTTCTCAAWTTTTTAAAAATTTCTCTTTTGATTTCTTCTTTGACTCATAGTTAACAATGAGTTGCTTAATTTTCACATGAGTGAATTTTCAAATCTTGGACTTTGATTTCTAATGTCATTCCACTGTAGTAAAAAAAATAAACCTTTATGATTTTTAATCCTTTTAAGTTTGTTGAGGCTTATTTGAGACCTTACACATGGTCTATCCCGAAAAATGAAAATTTGGGAATGTTTTTTCCTATGGCTATTGGTTGGACTGTTTCATAGATGTCTTTGAAGTCTAATTGGTTTACAGTGTTGTCCAATTCTTCTATTTCCCTGTTGATGATATTCCTAGTGGTTCTATGCATTATTGAAAGTGATGAACGTATCTGATAATAATTGTTGAATTTCTTATTTCTTCCTTTCTTTCAGTTTTTGCTTCATAAACTTTGGGGCTCTGTTGTAAAAATACATGTATGTTCACATCATCCTGATATATTGACAAAATGTCCTTCTTTGTCTCTTGTAACATTTTTTGTTGTAAAATCTGTTTTGTCTGATACTATTACAGTCACTCCAGCTTGCATGATATATCTTTTCTCATGCTTTTACTTTCAATCACTTTGTCATTTTCAAACTTAAGTGTGTCTCCTACAGATAGCATATCACTGGACCCTGTGTATTTTTGAAGCCCAGCCTGACAATCTGTGAGTTTCACTTAATTTATTCACGGTTAACATTATGACAAACACAACTGGATTTACACCTGCCATTTTACTTTTAACTTTCTATATGTCTTATGATTTTTTGTTCCTTATTTTCTGCTTTCTTTTGCATTGAGTAAATATTTTCTAGTGCAAACATTGTAACTATTTTAATGATTTTTCACTATATTCTCTTGAGTTCTTACTAGAACCTACTTCGTATTTACATAAGCTTAATTCCAGTTAGATATAGAAATGTCCTTCTCTGTAGTCTATTCTGTCTTCCCTTTATTCTTCTGTAATTGTTAAACATATTGCATCCATAGGTTATAAGACTAATGATATATTGTTATAATTATTACCAAATATAATTTTCCATCTTTTCAAAGAAGCTGAGAGAAGAAAGGAGACCAAATATGTTTACATAGAATATTATATTAATCTTCTTATTTAACATTTCTGCTTCTACCTTCTCCTGTCCTCAACTATTGCAGCAGACTCTGTGCTCTGCCTGATTCCCCATCTTAAATCCTGTCGTAATTCCAGTCACCCCACTCACCCAAGTCCCCAGGCTTCCATCCATTACCTGTGTCCCATGCTAGTAACTGGGTATAATTAGCTCACCTCAACGTAGCCCTTCTATGCCTGGATGTTACCACCCTCACTAGAATATTTTATCTACAGCTATATAGCACAGATGTACATAGTAAAGACAAGTTTTACTAATTTCTATCACTTTAAAGATAAGCACTCTGTATCTCATATCTTAACAGCTCCCCTGCATTTAAATGTCATTTTTTTTAATGGATGGAGAATTTTTGGCAGATACACATTGCCAAAATTAAATTAGCACAAAAAACTAAGATCCTTATTTTCCTTGGGAATCCGTCTCAATTCGTCTTAGTCAAATTAATAAAACTGGTTTCATTGTTTAGAAAAGTAAAAAGCAAGTCTTCCTATTAAAAATAAAAACTCCTTCTCCTTCTCCTTTATTTTTCCTCAAAGCTCTTATTATCATAGGATAGATCACTCCCAAAGATTGTATGATCTCCCCCCACTACAGCATATGCTCCATGAAATAGGTATTTTGTTTGTTTTGCTGGAAAATATGTGTTTTCACTACTACATGTTTGAAATAGGAAGCAGGTCAATTTGGATTGAAAATTAAAAATGGCTTAACTTGGGGCTGGGGATGTAGCTCAAGCAGTAKCGCGCTCGCCTGGCACGCATGCATCCCAGGTTGGATCCTCAGCACCATATACAAACAAAGATGTTGTGTCCACCAAAAACTAAAAAATAAATATTAAAAAAATGGCTTAACTAAATGTCAATATTCTGAAAGTCAATTCACAAAACAATTAATCACCCAGTGACTTGTGAGGCATTGACTACAGACACTAAAACAAATAAACAAAAAACAATTTGCCCTAATGTCTTGTTTATTTAAAATGGCATTAAATTATATCATTCCAGATATGTTATCCTTCATATATTTCATTGAGCAGTCTATGGTTAATTAAACTTGCTAAAGTATCACCTGATCACTAACTTTGTTTTCAGAGCTTTGGATTGGCATGGGGACATGTTTATTATTAAGAACTAGAAGAAATATTTTTTGTACATTGAACAAATTTTACACAGTAAACATATTGGAGAGTCTGACTATAGCATAGCCTTTGAGGATTATGTCAAGGGACTTCCTAAGAAAAGTATACTACACTTTTGTTAATATGTATTTTTTTAAGTTGTAGGTGGACACAATATCTTCATTTTACTTTTATGTGGTGCTGAGGATTGAACCCACTGTCTCACACCTGCCAGGCAAGCACTCTACCACTGTGCCACAGCCACAGCCTTTTTGTATTGTGTGAATAAGTCTTTTCAGTTGCAATACAAGATGTTTGTACTTTATAGTAACTTCAGGGTCTATTTTTTGGTTACAGTTATTTATAAATAATAAATCATAGCAATATATGTATATACAATAATTATATATATATATATACAAGAATTAAAATGGACTCACTTCTATGGGAAATTCACGGAGGTCATTAAATGATAAATTAAGATATATCAATTGGGAAGCCAAAGGTGAGAAGTCTGGACAATAAAGGAGAAAAAAACCCTAAAAGAAAGTGAAAAGAGATATTAATTCTTAACAATATATTCTCCCCATGAGAGTGCTCCTTTTTAAATTTCTAATGGTAATACTACAAACTCATTAACACTGTCAAACTTTTCCTAATCTGTGAAGGGAGAAATTGTTTCTCTATGTAGTTTTAAATTGCATTGTTTTTATTTTGAATGAGGTCAAGCACTTTTCATATTTATAAGGGTATTTTGTTTCAGTGAATTGTTTGTTCACTTATTTTGCCCCCCACTTTTTTTTCTGTTGGATGCTATTGTAAATGCAATTATTGTCTTAATTTGTTTATTAGCTCTAGCAGCTTTCTCATCAGTGCTGATCATAACTCCAGCAACCATAATCAGAAATGTTGTAATCCCCAAAGATCAAATTCCCTGAAATCCCAAATGTCTAAAGATCAAAATCCCTCAAATCACAATCCTGAAAGATTAAAATCCTAAATGTTGTAACCCTGAGAACTAAAATCTCCAAATTCCAAATTTCCTTTGAAGAAAAGCCTACATAGGAGGGACAGAAAACTGAATTCTTGGGAAGGCATTAGTGTGTTTTTTGTTGTATGCAGTAGAGTTGCCAATTTATTCCATTATGTAACACTTCCCATTCACACAGAATGTCATGTTTGTCTTCAAGAAACTGTCAGAGCATGAGAAGGATCTGAGGAGTTCAGTGACCTTCTGACAGAGGCTTGCTGATTCAGAAGTTTCTCCAGGGTTACAAAACACGTTATATGGTAAGTTATTCTCGGTTAGGACTTCTTATATTTACCACTAAATCTGACAGAAAAACTAGTGCATGCTTCACTTTGGCTAATGAGCAGCATTTTAAAACAGTCTTTAGTAGTTCTTTGTTGTTGATGTTTTTATCAAATATATAGGTTTTTTAGGCCAAAGAGTTCTGGGTTCAAATCGAAGTTTGCTTACTGTGTAGTCTTATGCAAGTTACTTTCACTGAAACTTGGTGTTTTCATATGTCAGATAAAGATTATAATACCTACTTTGCAGAATGCTAAGTTTTAAGAGTAGCATAGGCTTGGAACATAGTGAGTGCTTAACAAATGGTACCAAGTATTTCTGTTATGCATCGTATTGGGTTTGTGTTTGTTGAAAAGCCAAAAATTGCTGCTAACTTAAAAATCTGATAAAAAGTGGATGTGTAACCGATGTGAATCTGCATTATGTATATAGGGTAAAAATGGGAGTTCATAATCCGCTTGAATCAAATGTATGAAATATGATATGTCAAGAACTTTGTAATGTTTTGAACAACTAATAAAAAAATAAATAAAATTGGACAACTAAAAAAAATCTGATAAATCTGAGTTCCRTTTCTGTTATTATGCCATGTAATGCAAAAGACACCATTACTGTTAGGATCTGAGCATCTTTTTAAACTTAGCTGGGGGGCTGAAGGCAAACTAGAACAGATAGGTTTAGAGATACAATTTGACTCTGTTCCTGGGAAATCTTTATTGCAATAGGAAAGACTCCTTTAATACCATGGAAACTAACCTCCCTTAGAAGAGTGAAAGTAAAAATGATTGATAAGATATTGTCATTAGAAAGATCTAGAATACCTTAAGGTTAAGTGCATTTCTTCCATGCACTTGGCAAGTTACTACAGCCAGGTTGGCCATCGCTATTATTGTTTCGGAATGTGTTGTCTCAATAGTCTTAAAACCGTCACCGTATAAAACGTAGTCTGATTCTGTTTTTTTATATTTAGAGCCACCTAAATTAACAAATCAAAATAAAACATGAAATTTATTTGTTTTATGTAATTTTTTAAATTTATATATGACAGCTTAATGCATTATAATTCTTATTGTATATATAGAGCACAATTTTTCATATCTCTGGTTGTATACATAGTATATTCACAACAATTTGTGTCTTCATACATGTACTTTGGATAGTAATGATCATCAAATTCAAGTGTTATTGTTTAAGAGTGAAAGCTGAAGGGTGTTTATGCTATAAGATTGAGTCACCATGGGGAAAGTTATACACCTCTTCTAGAAGAAATGCCCCCTATCCTTCTTCTACCCAATCTTAGTTGATTCCTATTTGTCACATGAGTACCGTTTTGTTCAAGGTCATTGTACTGTCATGTGTAACTAATTAAAACAAATAAAAAAAGTGAATAGTACAATTGTTTTTCAAACAAAATGATACGCTCACAGATTTTTACCTGAATAAGTTAGGTTCCATTAAACTCTGTATTTTTGTACTATATGTAAAATATCTGCAAAAATTTTACTACAAATCACAGGGAACAACCTTTTGGTCCACAAAATTAAAAGACAACACAACTCAGATATCACCTCCCAAGCGGCATCTCACTTTCCCCCTAACATCACCTGGATGTATGATTCAAATGCTGTACATAACTCTTCTCTCAGATTGTAGACTTCACATAGGAAAGGAAAGAAGACAAAAAATAACCCAGGTGTAGCTGAGCAAAGACCACTTACATTTAAATTTACTTTATCATGAGCATTCTGGAGATCACCTTCCATCAAAAATGGTCTACAAAAATATACACCAAAGTGCAGCCAAAAAATATTTTGAAATTTTCAAAAACTTATTTTAGGGCTTGGGTTGTGGCTCGGTGGTAGAGTGCTAGCCTAGTACCAGTGAGGCACTGGATTCAGTCCTCATCACCACATAAAACAAACAAATAAATAAATAAATGTCATTGTTTCATCTATAACTAAACAAAAATATTTTTTAAAGCCCATATTTTATATTCACAGACATTTCTTGCAGTATTATTTGCAGAAACATATTTTACAACCTCAATTATTCTATGCTATTGTTTCAGGGAGAGGAAATAAAGCATCCTAGAAGAACTACAAAAAAAATCAAAAAAAATCTGTTTTTAATCTCTAAAATGAAAACTTTGTGCCCATTTTAGATCAATAGATATGAAAGTTAACCCCAAAATAAAGAAGGATGCATAATGTGAAATAGTGATACCTTGTCTAGTGAGGGGAAATGGAGCGAGAAGAAAAGGATTGTGTATTAAGACCTAAGTCTGTGACCTGATCCCTAATCATACATCCTCAGTATCTAAACCCAAGCATCTGGTTTTTGAGTGGAAAAGAGAAAGGGGTTAGAAAGTCCCTAATAGATCTCTGAAGTACCTGAGGATCCTTAAACTTTCCAAGGAGGGAAAATCAGAGTGGAAGAAGCTCAATAATGCAGGAATGGCGGCATGGCTTGCCTGGGCTCATGATGTGGAAGAGACCCACAGTTCCTTTACATCACAGTGATACACAAAGACTGGGAAGAAAGGGAGGGCTCGAGAAGTCCTGTGGTGGAGTATTCTACCGTGTATTTTGTCCTACTAAATGCAGCTATTGAAATATTAATTTGTTATATTATTTTGCCTGCTCTAAAATTTCATTTGACTCTTATTTTTTTAAAACAAAAATTTCAGTCCTCTGGTGAAATTCTCCAACCTTTTTTTCCCCCCTCTTACATAGTAACCAATTGTTTTAAAATTCCAGTTTGAAACTGCAATATATGAATCAGCTATGCAGCTGCTTCTATTGCCTTGTTTCTTTCTATTGGTTTACAGACATTTTATATWTTTTTTTAAAGAATGTTTGTGACTTTTTAAGCAATGCTAGACTTTGTGGAGGAATGATTTTAAGGGGTCTGGATAATTCTGTCTCTAACAAGTATCAGGTTTTCTTTATTAGGCAGAAAGTATCACTTTGATTTATCAAGGATTGGTTTTGAATTTTTTTTAAAAAACTCTATAGTGTATTTTTGTTTTGTCCTTTCTCCTAGAACTTCATCCTTAGTCCTACGTCATAGGTCCTATGTCATAGGTCCTCTGCATCTTCAATCAGAAGCCCAGTGAGTTATTAAAAGCCCTACACATGGCCAGAGCTTGAACTCCATTAATTGTTTCTTATGCAACTGCAAAAATCTCTTGGCTTTTCAGCTGATGTTCTCTGCTGTGTTTCTCAATCCTGTCCTGCAGATGCACAGCTTCAAAATCAGCCAATGCCCCCAAGGGAATCTGTGTATAGAATTTTTTAAAAATTCATTTCCCTTCACTTTTCTCCTTTCCAAGATTTCGCTTCTCAAGTCCCAGCGACACTGGCCACTCTGAAGTCTGACTTCTATCTTCTCAACCCATGAAAACTACCACTTTCTACCTATATGTATTCTCCCACACCACAAATGCCCATAGGTCCAGCTAACTCAAGGGCTGCCCTTCTAGAGATTGTAGTGGCTCAGGTTGAGTCTGCATTGGTTGCTTTCCAGTGCCTTTAATGACTATTTTAAGTATATTTGGCAGCTTTAATAGTTGATTTTGGCTGGAAAATTTGTCCAATAGAAGCTACCCAATTATGACAGAAATGGAAGTCATCAGGTTATTTAAAATCTGTGCCTGATAATTCTCATACTTAATACTTTTAGGAGTTTGTTTCTACTACTTTCTCTTCCTGCTAGTCCTTAACCATTTTGACTTTCTCCTTTTTTGCCTGATAATTCTAAATCATATGCCCTGTACTATTTTTGTGAGATTGTTGGTAGAGATAAATGCAAAGTCTAGAATGGTGTAATCTTTGTTTAAGGAGAATTTTCGATTTGTCTCTGCTAGATCAAAGCACTAGCAGAACTGCACACACACATACACAAATACACAAAATCACCAATACTTTTATAGAAAGATAATCTTATATACAATTTCCAAAAGAATGATAATAGGCTTAGCATTTACCTTCAGGTAGCCTCAGAACACTTTCTCTCTTTTCATTTTCTGATGCAAGACTTTCTAGAAAAAAAAAATGGGAGAGCTTTTGGATATTTGTGAAAATTCACTTGAGGATGTTTTGGCTTCATTATAATTGTCAATTTAATGAACTGGTATTATCCATTGGAATGCATCCATGAAGCTATCCAATGGTACTGGTGTCCTATCTTTGGAAAACTAGATCACCTTCTAAATCATTGCTCACTGGTCCTTTACATTATTATTTTTTTTTATCCTTTGAATTTCCTTACTGGTCTCCATCATTACCATTGGAAGAACTACCCCTTTTGGGCTTGGTAGATCTGCAAGGTAAAGATTTCTGTTCTTGCCCTCTGGCTCAGGTGTTAAATGTAAACACAAAAAGTGATTCAATTTGTCCACCCTGAACACCCAGGGGAGGGGCACCCTTTATGTTTCCTTTCTCCTCTTTGTTCCAATTGGTCCCCATTACTTGATACCATGTTCTGATTATATTTACCTATGATAGACTGTGGATGAGGTTTTCTTGGTAAAATCGGTGTTGGTAGGACAATGTTTCTTGGAAACTGAGTAATCCCTAGTAGCACTTTACTAATGGTTACTACCTTGTGTGAGGCACTGACTAGACGACTTGGCAATACTGCACTTTTGGAAGAGTCATGCTTTCGTTTGTTAACTAACGAAGAACCGTCTGATTGAGGGAACTTTGAAGAAACAACCAAAATGTCTTCTAATTTTTTATCAGTAATAATATTTTCTACTTTGGGTAGTTTAGTTGTGGACTTTTCTGAACTTCTTTTCATTTTTCTTATATTTTTCTTGAAAAATTGAGTTGAAACTAAAGCATAACTTGGAATAAACATGGATCTGACATTTCTCGATTTTGTGGATGTTGAAATTGCAGTTACTGCTTCTGTTACATTTTGATCCAAAGAGTCAGCTTGGATATTGATAGGACCTTGTGCTTTTTCTTCTGAAGATACATCAAGTAAAGCAGGTTTTTTGAGAACTGGAGTGGTTTCATCTTGAGTGAACTTTCCAGAGAGTGTCTCAATTTCACCAGTCTTGGCTATACAAGAGGAAAAAAAAAAGAGCAAAGTTGAATGGCTTTTATCAAGATGTCAGAGAAAAAACTATAATGTCATAGCATTCACATTTTTTCTTTACCTCTCACCCTTCTCTCCCTAAAAACATTTCTGTTTATGTTTGCTTAGCTACCAAGACTTTTGTCAAGCTGATGGGGATAAAGTTTGAGAAATTTGAAACAACTGAAGAAGTTAATAGGCTAAATTGTATTAAATTTAGAAAGGGTAGGAAGATATGCTTGGAAGAACAGAACTGATGGGAAAAGACTAAGATAAAAGGCCAACTCCACTACTCTGGGCCCATGGTTATAATTCCAAGCACATCATGGAGGAAGGGCACAGCAGAAGAAAACTGCTCAGCTCAGGAGGGTTCAGGAAGCAGAGAGAGGTAAGGGGTTGTAGGAAGAGGCACCCTTCCAGGGCATACCTGCAGTGACCCACCTCCTCCAGCCACGCCCCACCTTCTTCTACTTACCAACCAGTGAGTCCCTTCAAACTAGGATAGACTGATTAGGTTACAGCTCTTGTAATCATTTGACTTCTGACGGCTCTCCCTGCATTAACAGGAGCTAACACACAGCTCCCATCCCTCCTTCTTCACATTTAACACAGACAATCAGTCTGACCTCAGGGCTTTATTCAAATGATGTGTCAACTGTAGAGTTTCTAATTCCCAAATTCTAACGCTATCCCCCACCTTAAGGGGGCACACTCTCTTTCCATCTCCACCATAAGAATCACTTAAAAGGTGAGCTTTTGTTCTGATGGATTTGTATTCTACCCATATCTGGATTAAAGTGAAAAAAATTAAAAACTGCTGTTTCAGAATAGAAAGATAAGTTTTGTTGACAAAATTGCTTATTAAAGCCATACATTACTTTAGCTGGTATTGAGACCAGAATTCAAATCCCTAGACTCCCATTGTAGAGCATTTTGCACTGTTCACTGTTGATGCAAACAGGAAATAATTATGGGCCAAGTGGGAGTATTACAAATAACATCTTAAAATTAGACAGTAATTTTATAAAGTGCTTTTATATAGGCATTTGAAACTTGATCTCAAAAAACTGATTTTTGAAAATCCCACAAATAGGTTTCCCCTTCTCATTCTCTCTGCCATCCTCCTAGTCTACAATGGCTTAACCTTTCCCTTGATTTCCTGATACTGCCTTACAACGTTTTCACTGAGTTACCAGAATCTTCATTGTGATAACTGAGATATAAGAATCTATGTAGTCGGTCATGGTGGTGCATGGCTATAATTCCAAGGATTCAGGAGGCAGGAGAATTGCAAGTTCAAAGCCAGACTTGGCCATTTAGGCCCAAGGCAACTTACTGAGCAAGAACCTATCTCAAAATAAAAAATAAGAAAGGCTAAGGATGTGGCTAAGGGTTAAGTGCCCCCTGGTTCAATGTGATGAAAGGAGGAGAGGAAGAGAAAAAGGGAAAGGGCAAAGAAGGAAGAAGAAGGAGGAAAAGGAGGCAGGGAAGATGAGGAGGAAGGGGAGAAGGAAGAGGAGGAGGTGGGGAAGAAGAAGGAGAAGGAGGAGGAGGGGAGAAGAGGAGGAGGGGGAGAAAGAGGAGGAGGGGAGGAGGAAGAGGAAGGAGGAGAAGGAAAAAGAGGAGGGGAGAAGGAAGAGGAAGGCGAGGGAGGAGGAAAAGAAGGAGGAGGGGGAGGGGGAAGAGAAAGAGAAGGAGGAGGAAAAGGAGGAAGAAGAGGAGGCAGGGAGAAGGAAGAGGAAGGAGAAGAAGAAGAATCCAGGTGATCTGGATTCATAGATTCACTTCAAGATGACTCATTTTCCAATGAGAACCCTAGTTATGGTAATTACTACTGATAATCACAAATGTCATGCTGCTCATTAATAACTTCATTCTTAGGTTAATCACGCTGCAGGGAATACCTTCTCTTACTAACCAATTTACATAGTTTTCTTCTTTCAAAGTTGACCTTATATAATCATCTTTGATGATTACAGCTTGACTTATTGTTCTCATCAATTCATTGAAGACACATTAACATCTATGGTATGTGCCAGTTGTACACACAGTGCCAGGGGTACAAGAGCACAAATCTTACCATCAGCAAAGATCTCACAAATTAGTATAGAAACCAAGCAGGTAAACAGTAGCAATGGAAAATAATAAATAGTTGGCAGGAGTAAGTACAGGCTACTGTGAAGAGAGGAAGGCAATCTTACTCGATAAAAAGAGAAGAGATGCTTCAAGAAATCTTTCCAAACAAGATGATGTCTGTCTTCTCAATTCCATACTTCCCTGTTGGTTTTTTTTTTTTTTTTGAAAAATCTCACCATGATCATTTCTGATTTTTTTCTAGTATATTAAATTCCTACTATTCAAGCACTTTCCTCTATCATCAAAAACTGCCAAGGTCTCCTCTATAATTAAACATATTCCATACCACTTTAATTCCTCAAGTCTTAGTTCAAGCCCTATACTAATCACAGTTCGTTCTCTCTCTCTCTCTCTCTCTCTCTCTCTCTCTCTCTCTCTCTCTCTCTCTACCGAGAATTGAACCCCAGGGTATTTAGTACTGAGCAACATCCCCAGCCCTTTTTATTCTTTTGTTTTGAGACAAGGTCTTCTAAGCTGCTGAATCTGCTGGGTTGGAACTTAAAATCCTATTGACTCAGCCTCTCACAAATAAAAGTATATTAAACATTGTTATGGTTTGTATATGTGGTGTCTCCCAAAACCTCAAGTGTGAGACAATGCAAAAATGTTAAATGATGAAATGATTAGATTTTTAAAGTTGTAACCTAACCAGTGGATTAATCCACTGGTACGAATTAATTGGGTGGTAACTGTGGACAGGTACAATGTAAATAGAAAAGGTAGGTCCCTTGGGGCATGACTTTTGGTTTATTTTGTCCATGGTGAGACAAGCTCTCTGATTCCTGGGTGTCATGTCCTGAGCTGCTTTCCTCTGCTGTGCCCTTCTGTAATAATTCTGCCTCACCTCAGGCCCACAGCTATGGAGTTCATCAACCATGGTCTGAACCTCTGAAACTGTGAACCAGAATAAACTTTTCTTCCTTCCCATTGTTCTTGTCAGGTCTGTTGGTCACAGTGATAAAAAAGCAGACTAAAACAAACATTTATTAATATATATCATTAATTCGTTACCATTGAACTTACAGCCAATAGTGCTGTACATGAAGGAAGAAGCTTACCTAACACATGGATTGTTTTCTGTAAGGCACATCCCAGTTTCTTGTGCTTAGGAACATTAGACTGCACKTACACACTATGCTTAGGGTCATTTTAAACAATGAAATTACCAACAAAAAGCCCCAAAATTCAAGAACTCTGGCACTAAATAGACTAGGAAAGGGGCACTTATTTACAGTGGGAGCAGAAACTAGAAGGCAGCGGTAGCCTCTTCCATTTCAGCGGGGAGCACTGTGTGAGGCACAGCTCCTGTTTTCACGGATTCACAAATGACTGTGAAGGAGCCAGATTATACAAATAAATCTTACCAATGAGTAAATCCATATTTACCAAATTCACAAATAAGGAACAGTGTCTACACTTGTAGAACTAATATCTGGTTGTTATCATCTTACAATAAACACCTGTAAGTTATGATTATTATTGTCCTTAACTATTATGATTCTGAGCTATGCAAGGCAGAGAAATTCTATGAAAAACACATAAAGTTTAATACACATATCTGATTAATACACATACCTGTATGGGTTTTCTTTGTATATAAAGGCAGCTTAGGGTGTTTGGGAGGTAAAGGTCTTCGAAGAAGTTGTGGGTATTGTTGCATTTTACTGATTAATAAACTCTGTTTTTTCATAACTATTGGTTAAGGGAGAATTAAAAAGTTTTTAAGCATGTTGCTGAAAAGCAATTTATTAGAATTTAATTACATCTTAAGGAAACTCACTCTGTGATAATAGTATACTGAATCCAAGCAGAATTTCTTTATAAGAAAATGAGATTAAGAAAATAATTTTTTATAACTTCTACTTTAAAAATTTAGATTTATAATTAATTAATGCACAATTTAAAAATACACATACAATTGTTAATCAATATCAACCTGAAATTTCCCAAGTTAGGGCAAAATTCAATCTACCAATACTCTTTCAGCCAGTAAATGATTTTTCGGAACTGTAGAAATGACTTTTATTTCACTACAAAATGTTATCACTATATGTGGAAGATCCTTTCAATATACAAACCTCTGAAGACCCATCACATCTAACTATTGACAAATTCATTGTTTTCTTTCTCTAACAATAACTGGTTTAAATTCGATCACTACAGTTGGGTCATAACCATGTAATCCAAAAATAACATGGGCTTTCCCAGGATTGCTGGTAAACCCAATTAGTACTCTTTGGAAATGATGGGAGAAGATTCACACCCCTCTTACCCCGCAAATGTGTGTTCAGTTTGCAGGGCAATATCAAGAAGGCCTGGCACGCCACTATTTCGTTGACAGCCTAGAAGGGAACCTGCAGCTGCGCAATTGAGCTGTTCACCCATAAAAGATAATTCTGCACACAAGCGCTCAAGGTTTGCTCCCTGGCGGTATGCCCTACTTGATGCTGGAAAACTTCCCTGGTAGTATCCTAAGAGATTACGGGAAGAGTTGAACTCCAACACCACTCATCTGGTTCTCAAATCAACTGACTTTGGGGCTTCCGTCTCTTTTTCTTGGGTCTCTAGCCAGTCAGGTAAAAGTATAGTGAGGTCGCCCGTCTTTCCGTAGGATGCTGTTCCCAAACAAGCAAGATGTTCCCATCCAACAAGATGTGTCCAGAGGCCACCAAAACCGACCACTCAGCAACTAGCGGCCACCTGAGACGGGTAGAGCCCGCCCCGCCCGAGGGATGCGCAGGCGCTGGAGGGCAGGGCGGGCAGGAGTGGTGACTGGGCAGGGCGGAGAGCGGGCGGGGCGATCGCGACGCCCGCAGAGCCCCGCGGAGGCGGCCCCGCCCATGGCGCAGCGCGCGGTGCCCCCTGGCGCCACTCGGGTGCGGTGTGGGATAGCTGGGRAGGCAGCGGGCGGTTGGGCAAGAGGAGACGCCACTCCACGTGCAGCTGCTGTACGGAACGCCGTGGTGACAATTGTTATTACTTTTCTTATTCTTAATGACAATGACTTACTTTTCTCTGACACGAAGCTTAACTTGGGTGTCTAGAGTCTGGGCTTGTATTCTTTAATGATGCGCTTTTGCTCAGCGGGGTCTCCTTGCTTATTTGGCAGTGCCCCCTGAAAAGCAAACATTCTGCTTTCCTCTGATGCAACCTGTTTTGTCGTTCTGATCCTTTAAACTTCCTGGTTGAGGAGGAGCTGTGTAGGAATTGGAGCATTAGGGAGGAATTCGAGTGGGCTTTAAAAAAGAGACCCTTTTCTGTCTCAGTCGTTCATTCTGATTATTGTAAGTTGTCTCTTATTCAGTCATGGTGTTGATGAACYTGTATGTGCAGCGGTAGATGCATCGTGTGTTTGCATGTTGTTTCTCTGGAGCTTTGAGGGAGAAAGCACCAGAAAGAAATCACTATGTAGATGGGGAAATCACAGCTCAGAAAGTGAAGTAGATGGAGTTTCCTTCCAGGTTGTTTGTTAGGTACAGGGGCAGGAACCTTAGTAATGGATTTTGGAAAATGAGGCACTTTCGTATAAGCTTTGGGACTCTTTCAAGATTTATTCCCTAATCAAATCTTCCTTAGTCTCTTTAGGAGTAAGCCTATATTTTAACACAATGAAAAAAGTAGAAACTGACTCTGGGAAACATTATGCAAATTATTTCCTTTAGAGTCTTAGCATGTGATTTCTTTTCCTTATAAAATTACTTTGTCCCAGATTAGATGACCAGACCATGAATTTATGCCATTTCTGCCTGTGTCTACATCATAGATTTATGAACTTCTCAGAAAGACAAGAAAGCAGAGAGCAAAAGGTAGATCTACTGGTGAGGCTTTGCCTATAGTAGTATAGATTGTACATATTTGCAAATATGGAAAAAATGTTTCTATCATTCTTAAGCATAAAAAAATATATGTATGCCACTATATAAATTGAGTCAAGTTCCTATACTCTGAAAAGTGGTTTGAACCATGAGAACTATTAGATTTCAGTTTGACTTACAGATGCCTGACCTTTAGAAATTGGTGCTTAGTTTTGCATAGTCAAAATCAAGGCAATGCATTTTTAAATATATTTATAAAAATGCTTTGTCACATATGGACCCAGCAGGCATCAGGCTACATTCCTTGCAGATTTCTTCTAGCAGATTTTCTTCTAGCAAGTACCAGGCCAGAACCTAGGGCTGTTTAATATGCAACTTTCTCAGTGTGGACAGTTTTGTTATCTTCTGTTAGTATCACCTAGTGCCAAACCTTTAGACAAATAATATAATTACTATGAAAATTAAGTCCATTGCTTAGTATGTTTGATGTGTATACATAGTTATTTTAACTCATCTTATATGATTTACCCATGGAATTGATATAAAATTGTAGGATGGGTTTTGAAAAAACAAATCACACTCAATTTTGATCACTTYACTATTTTTAGATTTGCTATTTTTCTTTCTTTTTAAAAAATAATTATTATATGGCTCATTGAAATCAGGCAGCTCCCTGTTTGGTTTTAAGGTTTACTTTATCTGATGTACAGAACCATGTTCCTGTTTATTTGTCTCATCAGCTTTGCAGTTTGGCAGAACCAGGGAAAGAAGCTTGTCAAACAAAAACCACAATGCTTTCGCTCAATTAGCAAATTGTATCAAGGTGCTCAGGATAATGGTGAGCACCAAAGTTATAGACATCCTGAATCTTTTTAAAACATGTTGTTAAATTGAKATAAAAGCAAAAGAGCAGTCCTAGGTACTGGTAGATAATGCTACTTATTTCCCCAATGAGTGGGACAGGTTGGGGTTGGGAGTGGGGGAACCTTAGATTTGCTCTTGTCGAAAGGACACACTGTTGGAATGAAGTTAAAAAAAAAAAAAAGTGTTACTAGAAATCTTAACTATTTTCCATAGATTTCTCTCCTGTTATTTTCCTTTTAAACAGAATAGAATTTGCTGAACAATTGTGTCAGCGTCGATTTAATCCATTTTATCATATGGAAATAAAGTAGTAACTTGTGGTTTTATGTTCATATTAGTTTGTTAGTGTGTTTTGTATTTGGAACAGGAACACTTAACTACTGAGCCACAACCCCAGCCCTGTTTTGTTTTTTATTGAGAGTCAGAGTCTCACTGAGTTGCTTAGGGCCTCACTAAGTTGCTGAGGCTGGCTTTGAACTCACGATTCTCCTGCCTTAAACTCCTGAGCCGCTGGGATTACAGGCATGCACCACCATGCCCTGCTCATATTAGTTTTTGAATTTCCTCTAAAGAATGAAGAGTTATTTTTGAGTACATGTGAATTCAATATTGATTCCCCAGGATAACCCAGGACACCAAAGTGCTTTTGAAAAAGAGGTGTTTTCTTGGTCTGTTTATCTGTTTATACTAATTATATATACTATGAAACATATTTACTCTTCATAGTTTACAGTGTCTTAAACACATTCATTTATGCCAAGTGTTTTCATGCTCTTGCCTAGAGGATAGTTTTATATTTTCTCCAATATTAATAAAGATATTTAGAAGACTCTACTCTTCCTTTTACCCTTCATATTTCACTGCAAAGAACAAAACTTCATTTCTGTTCATTATTTTGGCCAGTTATACCTTTGGCTTTTTCAAGATGATAGCTATTTCATTTCCTTTGTTTGAACTAGAAATTMTGGAATTTCTTTGTAAAAAAAMAAAACAAAACATTATCAAAAAGGAAATGACATTCAGTCTGCATTATGGAATTAATRTAAAAATATCCTGCACATAATGAAAGGACAATGTCTGATTTTAAAAGCACAGTAATGAATTCAGTCATTCATTCCAGATTAATATATTGGACACCTAATATGTATAAGACATTTGGCTAGGTGCTGAACTTTAAACTTTATTAAAGCAATTTATAATGAATCATTTGACTCTTTATAATTTTAAACACTAAATCATTTCCAAGGTTTCATTATTTATAATTATAGCTACTTGAATTTTTATTTTTTTAACAATTTGTTTTGATGTTGCTTAGGTAGAATAGTGTTATTTATATATATTTTATAAATAGCACTATCCCAATTGCTGTCTGCAACCAGGTGATGTTAGGTATTTGTGTATATTATATGATTGTGTCCATCAACAATAGCAACAGAAAGACAGTTAATATTTGTTTCCTTGTTAGTTTGACTAAGTAAACTGTCCTCATGCTGTGGGTTATGACATCATCTTAAACATGAGCAATGTTTGTTCCTATATGGAAGGCACTCTGCTAATTGTTGACTTTAGGGCCTCACTAAGTTGCTGAGGCTGGCTTTGAACTCACGATTCTCCTGCCTTAAACTTATGCCCAGTTATCACTTTAATTGAGAATTCTAATATTTGCATCACATTTCAATCGAAAGCAGCATAGCATATCTCTACTTGTCTGGGTTCAAATCCTCCTGCTGCCACCTGTTAGCTCTGTGCCCTTGGGCCATCTGCCCAACCTCTTTAACCCCCCTTGGTTTCCTCACTTGTACAATTGGAAGGAAATGGTACCCAACCCAAGGCCATTGAGAATTTAAAGAGATAATCAGTGTCCAGAGTTTAGTGAGGGAGTGCTCAGTACGTGTTAGAAAACTAATAAAAATTATTTAGTTAGGCAAACAGCCCAGGTTTCTGTCTCCATGCCCCTGCTTTATGTGATAATAGTTCATATTCACAGAAATATCTGGAGGACTAGAGGATA